GTGTGGACATACACACCAGTCATCAAGCCATGCTGTGGCAGCATCCCACATGCAAAATAGAGGAAGACTGGCACAGATCTGAGCTCAGGGACAATCTTCCACACCAAAAAAAAAATATATAAATATATATTTTTTTACATATATATATAAATATATATATATATATATGACAAAAAGGCAATCAATCACTTAAGGGAACAATCAGAGTTCCCTAAACATTGATGAGAAAATTCATATTTTAGAATTCTGTCTCAGCATACCCACAACCTCTCCCAAAGCCAAAAGTAATTTCTTCACAAAGTAGCGAATCTGCCTGTGTTAACAGACAGGTTAATATTAATTGATGGGCCACATCACAGAATATTTCTAACAGAAATGAAATAAATGAATGACACTAAATGAGCATTTATTGAACGTACCGTGTGCACCCAGTACCATACTAGAAACCTGGTTTTCCACTTTGATTCTATTCTTGTTCACGGCACGACGAGAGAAGATGACAAAGGTAAACTGACACTTTTCCTTTAATCTGCTCTTTCCTCAACATGCAGAGCTTCCCCAATCTCTCTTTGTCCAAACTCCACCCATTCTTAAAAATTCATTTCATCTGGGCAGCATATTATAAACCATTGCCATTTATATGACCTGGCTTAGTCATTCCCACAACCTTGTGAATCAGACGTTATCTCCACTGGAGAAGCAACTGTTATCTCGTGAAAGGCAGAAGTTCTCTAATACAGGCTTCCTAACTTCAAAGTCACACAACCACACTTTGCTGCCTCCTTTTAGTCCAGGAGTTGGCAAACTTTTCTTATAAAGGGCCCGATGGTAAATATTCACAGCTTTCCAAGCCATACAGTCTTTCCCATAACTCTGGCCTTGCAGCAAAATCAGCTGTAGACGATGGAAACAAAGCAAATCCAATAGGTGTGGCTATTTTCCAATAAAACTTTATTTATACAAAACAGGAAAACAGGATTAGGACTGTGGGGCTGATCCAATGTTCCTGAAATGGTAATCCATCCAGCATTTGTAAAAATTCAAAGTCTCAGGCCCTGCCCTAGATTTAACGGAATCAGGGATTCTGAGGATGGGGCCAGCACTGTGTTTTAACAAGCCCTCCAGGAGATTCTGAAACATGCTAAGATTTGAGAACCACTGCGAATCTTCCTGATTGCCCACACATAACTCTCCTATCATATCATGAATAGCTAAAGTGATTGATATGTTCCACTTCACCAGAAAGTTGCCCATCATGACTTTTCTCCTCCTCTGGAGTTCCTACCAGGAATATCCCAGTGGCTTATGCAACACAATCCTACTTCTCTGTTGCCATTACTGCTATCTTGCTGTCCCAGACTCATCTTCCATTTTCCCACCTGCTGGGACTCAGGCACCCTCTTAAATTCTTTAGCTCCTCCAGGTAACACATGCTCACACAGCCACAATTTCCAAAGCACCTCTACTCTTGGGCACTCCCAGATTGGAAGGGAATGAGGTTGCCATTCTCTGCCAAATGTTGTCCTGGAACCACGCCTCTTCCTCTCCACCTTGTCATGCCCCTGTGCCGCCTTCACCTCCACGTCCTGACCCCAGAGCAAGTGACAGTGCTTCCAAGTACCTTCAACAGAAAAAGCAATCCCCCTTCTCACGTTAACATTTTGTAATGCTCTGCCCAACCACCATCTCCACCTTCATCAGCTATTTTATACTGCAATAGAAATAGGATAGCTGTGACCATGGAGTTTGCTTTGAAAAGGCAAATAATACATCTCTTCTCCCCCTCCTCTTACAGAAATTGTTAATGGGGTGCTTTGAACCTCCCCTAAGCATATATTCTGTTATCACTGAAAAGGTGAAATTTCAAGGTTTCTACTGGGCTTTGGGTTGAAAGAAAGCCATTTAGGAAATGATATTCATTAGCCTTTTGATTATGAAAGGCAAGGCCTAGGGCCTGGTTTGGAATGGAGATGCCCTGGGGATGGGAGAGAAAAGAAACAAACAACTCTGCTTAAAAAGCACTTGGGCTCCCTGGGGTTAGGAGATCAACATATCTAAACCGATGTTTGACTTTCACTGGATTAGCCCCCAGGAACAGGATCTGCATTGGGTAGGGGGCAGGCTGGACTGCAGAAAGAGAGGAAATCACCGGCAGGAGTCTGGTGCCCGAGGATACAAATGGTTGCCAGTAATGACTGCCATAATAACCCACCCTTGTTCCACTCATTCCTAAAAGGTTTGTAAAGTTTATTTAACTGTCACCTTAGCACCAGACTTGGGAACAATGAGAGTTGAATCACGTTCAGGGAGAAAGAATTTGATCCTTGTTGGGAGATTCTGAATTCAAACATACACACAGTGGTAGGGAAGCAATGGCAATTTTTTTTGAAGAGCTCACCTCTTCCCAACCCTCACTATTATCAAATATTATATTACTCTCTCTAAAGAAACAAAGCAGAGAACAAAACAAAGAGGTCACTGGCAGGAAATGATGATTGTGCAAAACAGCTATTTTTTTTAAAAAAAGATTTAAATGTATGCCATTTACCCCCCCAGGTATTCACAATACTAATCCCTAGGACTGGTCTTCAAGTGGAAAGAAAAGCACCTTTGAAAAGCCAAAGCAGTACAGATCAGTGACTCTGATTCTTTGCAATGTAACTAGAATGTTTTCCAGGCTACAAAATTGTTCAAGTTACACTGTATCCAGTGTATCCAGAGTAATTTGAACCCATGGATACAAATATCATGTTATTTCTTTTAGATTCAGTCTGTGTTATTCAATAAGGCAGTTAACATACATTTTATAAAATCAATTGTGAATGCTCTATTTAAGTTATAAGCAATTCTCACTTTATTTTAGAAAATATTCAGGATTTTCTATATGCTGTCCACAAAACAAAATTATTTTCTAGTCACTGAACCAATTCATTTTTAGCAACAAATACTTTATTGTTTCACTATTTTTTTTTAAGTTTGAGCATTATGCTTAATTAAATCCGTGGAGTTTTGTTGAATTTTTATGGATGATTCCTATTTATTTATTCCCCAAAAGCAAAATAAATTTGATACATCTGTATACACCAAAGAAATACTATGCCTTTCATCATGCTACACACTTAATAAATAACTTATACATTTAGCAACATATTGTATTGCATTGTCAGTAATCAGGTAAACAGAAACATGTCATAATCTCATCTTGTTTTCATAGCTTATTTTGAAAATGGATAAAACAATTATATCTTACACCATTTTAATCTTGATTGCACTTAGTAATAAATCTTTTAAGATTCATTCCATGTCTCTCTCTCTCTGCAGTCTTCATTATACTCCTCAAAATGCATGACTCTTTATTTGAATTGAAACAATGAAGTCAAACTGTTTCATATGGAAAGTAAATCCCATTTGGCTAGTTTGATGATGAAAACGGACTCTGTTAATTAGGTTATATGACAAACATTTTCCATACTTGTCAAACAATTTTAACCTAAATGAGCTGTACCATTAGCTGCAAAGTTTTGACAAAAACAAAACTGAACTACCTACTAACAACAAAAATGCATTTTATCCAACCATTTATCAAAATGAACAATGTTTAGATTTTTACCAAATTTGAGTATGACAGGTTAAACAAGATAGATCTCATTTAAAAAAAAAAAAACAGGTTTTATTCATAGTCACTTGATGTCTCCATAATGCCTGTTTGGTATATTTCCCAGAAAATGAAAATATAAGAACCAGGTAGACAAACCCTTTGACAAGTCAGGTGGTTTTCAATTCTTTGCTTTCCACGAAACTGGAGGAGGGCTTAATTGAATAGTCAGCTTAGAGATCATCAAATCTAATTTTTTGAGATCAAAAATTCAGGGACATTACTACAATAAAACTCTGTTCCCAAGTACAGCACTTCATATGAACATGGTTTCTCAGGGCATACAGTTGCAAAAACTAGAAATAGGAATAGAATTGATGCTTAACCCTTCTTCTTCTAGTAATAAGACATATTCATCCACAGACATATTAATTTTAAAAAGCAATAATATCCATTTCACCGAAAGATGCGTTTTTCCAATGTTTTACATTCTGTTGAATAATTATGAAAATTTGCAATTATTTATTTTGCTTTGACAGTGCACTAATAATATTTTAAAGATAAGAGTCCAGAATCAGGCGATTTGCTATGTAACCTTCAGCAATCTCCTTAATCTCTCTGGGTCTGTTTCCTGCTTTGCAAATTGCGGATGGTAGTAGGACCTAGCATAGTGTGGTTCCAAAGATTGATTGAGTTAATGCATGTAAAAGCTCTTAACGCCACGCCTGGCACATACTGTGTGCTAAATGTGTGCACTGTTATTATCATCAGAAAAACACTTAAAACTAAAAGCCTGTGGGTTTGTCTTCGCTGGCAGGAAGAAGGTGCTGGAGGGATCGGGTTCTAGTCCGCAGCCACGCTCGGAGAGTAAAAAGGAATGCTCAAAGAAAAATAGAATGGGGTTGGGAGAAGAGATGCAGGAGACTCCTGGAGCTACCGGCTTGGGGGAAATCTGGGCAGGATTGCAGGCTGAGAACGAAGAGGGTTGGGAGAGTTTAGAATCAGCAGTTCCACGCACCGTTCGCATTGTACAGTCTAGGGATCTCGACTGCTCCGTGAAAGGAGAGAGCGTCAAGCCTAAATGCCACCGTGGATGGAACCCGGCCAGAGCCTCGCTCCCCCACCCGGGCCTGGTCCGACCAGGCGCCCAGTCGGCCCTCGGGTCAGGGGAGTCGCGCTCGTCGGACGCCCAACCACCCTGGACTCCAGACCCTGGCCCCTGGCCCAAACCCGGTGCCCGCGGCCCGCTCCGCCTGCTCGCCGCCGCTTCCGAGCAGCCTGGCCACGCGAGGGAGCCCGCGCCCGGCGGCGGCCGGAAATGACCCCTCGCGGCTCCCGTCGCCAGACCTCCGTTGCCATTGTCACCTCCTTTTCCTCCCTTCCCCCGGTTCCCTTTCACTTCCGGGGTGGCTCTGGGTCTGCTGGTTCCGTAACAACATCCCGTTGGCTTCCCTCAGGCGGCGGGACCTGTGCAGCCGCCGCCTCCCGGGAGCGCCCGCCCGCCCGGGCCCGCGCCCTCCCCGGCCCAGGCCGCCATGGCCACCAACCCGCAGCCGCAGCCGCCGCCTCCGGCGCCGCCGCCTCCCCCGCCACAGCCGCAGCCGCCGCCGCCACCTCCGGGCCCCGGGGCTGGTCCCGGCGCGGGCGGGGCAGGCGGCGCGGGGGCCGGCGCCGGGGACCCGCAGCTCGTGGCTATGATCGTGAACCACCTCAAGAGCCAGGGCCTCTTCGACCAGTTCCGCAGGGACTGCCTGGCGGACGTGGACACCAAGGTTCGGGGCGCGCGGGGGCTGCGGGTGTGCGGGGGCAGGGGAGGACCCCGAGAGCCGCCTTCTCGGGCAGTCTCCCGTGTCGGTCGGTGGGCCGGCCGCGCCTCGACTTCCCCAGCCGGGGCCCCTCCTGGCCGCGCCTCTCCCCGAGTTCTCTGTGCAGCCGCTTCCTGCTTGAGCTGCTGCTGTGTGCCAGGCACGGTGCCCGGCACGGTGCGTTCATTCATTCGCCCTTACGCTCGTTCGTTTAACCGGCTGGTGTAGAGCACCTACTACGCTGCCTAGGCGCTGGGGCTAAACCGGTGAGCAAGACTAAGTCGTTGTTCCCACGGAGACTCGTTTGGAAACAGTAACGCTAACGGTGCTTTAATCTCTGATTCATTTTTTTTCCCGGGTTTACTTTGTATCCAAGTTGTTTTTGCCTCCTCTCTTGAAGATTTCTGGGCGGTAAGGGTCATGTCTTTGTTCTTTGGAGGAATTTTTAAGTGATAATTGAATCGAATTTGCAGTGTGCATTGCTGGACATTGTGGGGGGTGCAAAGGTAAGGAGGCAGAGCTGGACAGTGGAAAGGTGGGTTGGGGAGTTTGGGACTTTTGTTTCTACCAATAACTGCCTGATTTAGGTAATTTAGGCTAAGTCACTCCTTGAAAGGGAGAAGGGAGGGAAAGGTGGGTCGGGGGGTGAGGAGTCGAGAGAACTGAGCCATTCAATGGGGGAAAGGATGGAGGAGAGGTGACAGCAGATATTGAAGTGGAAGAAGGACAGGAAGTGAAATGGAAGAAGAATGAGTTGGAGAGATTAAGGGAGAGTGGGGAAAGGTCAGTGAAGTGGTTCCCTGTACAAAAGGAGTTAGGGGCTAGGAAGGGGAAGGGACTTTGAAACAAATGTCAGAGTGAGAGGGGTGTTAGCAGGAACAAGTAAACTTAGCTGGTTTGGCAAAGAATGAGCAGAGGACATCCGGAGGGAGCAATCAGTGAGATGGATGGAAAACCAGTAGGGTCTGGAATTCCGGAAGCAAGTGAAGCAGGAAGCTTCAGGTGGAAACAATTGGAAAGTTGGGGAGTTTTTGGTTTGGATCTGGTTGGATCCATTGGGTGGAGTTTTGGTGGGTTGAGGATTTCCTCATAGCAGGTTCAGCTGTTCTGAGGAGCCTTGTTTCTTTGGGAAAGGGGTGTTTGCAGCATACACCGATTCTTCTCTGTGACTGAGTGTCCACCAGGCTTTGAGGTGAACTACACGTAACTCTGCTGTTTCCTCTGGGGAAGCCCTCCTGACAATCTGGAGACATCTTCTCTTTTAAGGACTCTGGCCCACCATGTAGACCAGAAGTACAATGTGTTTTTTCAGAGCATTGGAGTTTTTGCACCATGGAGAATTCATCTCACTTTGTTTTAGGAAAATAATTCTTATTCTCTCCCTCCCTCCTTGCCCCCCCCCCTTTCTTTTTATGGGAGAAGATTAGAGTAGACATGACCAGGTAAATATTATTCAAATTAAGCTGGTTATTTGTATCCAGCAAGTAGAGATTTTACTTTGCTGTTCTCAGAAACCTACAAATCTGTGTTATCACTGTATATGTAAATTGAAAATTTACATGTACTGATGGGGAAGCTGCAATTTCTAAGGCATAACTTTTTTTTAAAAGATTTTATTTTTTTCCTTTTTCTCCCCAAAGCCCCCGCCCCCCCGGTACATAGTTGTATATTCTTCGTTGTGGGTCTTTCTAGTTGTGGCATGTGGGACGCTGCCTCAGCGTGGTTTGATGAGCAGTGCCATGTCCGCGCCCAGGATTTGAACCAACGAAATATTGGGCCGCCTGCAGCGGAGCACGTGAACTTAACCACTCGGCCATGGGGCCAGCCCCAAAGGCTTAACTTTTTCTTCATCTTCATCCTCACTAAATGTTACTCTGTGTCAATAATATCCCTGCCAGATACTCTCAAAGTGGAACCTTTAAATCTTTCTTGCAGGGAAGGAGGGAACCACAATGGCTTTGAGAGTCTAATGAATGCTAGGACCTTCTCCCAAAAAAATTGCACATATACATATTAAAATGCTGTTTTTATAATTAAAAAATGGTCAACTATAGGCAATTTCATGTGACTCAACCTTATAGTTTCTGGGAGTTAGGGACCACAGAATAAAGGTTCCTTGTTTAAATGTCTAGGCTAGAGAAGAGTAGAACTGAAAGGATACCCCAGCAGAAGGGGGTGTCTTGGTATGCTTTCCTCACTAGTGTCGTCTCTCGCTCACAGGCTCACATGAGTGTCTTTGTACCTCTGCACCTGTCGTTTCTGATTTTATTGCTTCTTTCACTCATGACTGTCTCCTTTCTCCTTCTGCTTTTCTTCCTCTTCTTAGCTAGCAGTTATGTAGATTTCATTTTCTTTTATTTTAAAGCTTTCTTTTTTTCTTTTAAAGATTGACACCTGAGCTAACATCTGTTGCCGATCTTCTTCTTTTCCCTTCTTCTTCTCCCCAAAGCCCCCAGCACATAGTTGTATATTCCAGTTGTGTGTCCTTCTGGTTGTGCTACGTGGGACACCGCCTCAGCATGGCCTGATGAGCAGTGCCATGTCCACGCCCAGGATCTGAACCAGTGAAACCCTGGGCCACTGAAGTGGAGCGCGAACTTAACCACTCGGCCACGGGGCTGGCCCTATGTAGATTTTAATTTAATTTAAAATATTTGTTCTTATTGAGTAGTGTTATATACTTCTTTTTCTTATCTAAAAAAAGAGTAAGTTTGAGAGTCTCAAGAAACGTACAAAAGCTAAAGTTTTCTTTCATGTGAGCTTAACGTTCCTGTCAATGCACTGAGTGGGCCAGAGTAGAAATAAGATTCCTTATTCATGCAAAGGAGTGTCACTTTAATGCAATCCTTGGGTCTCAACTCATAAGAACACCTTACAATTTAGACCTCATGGTATGGTGCTTTTGATAGTTGAACCCTGAAGACTGATCTCCTTTATGTCAAACTCTGACCTGTAGGATATAGTATACAGGGTTGTATGTCAGTCACGTGCATATTTAAGAATCAAGACATTTTGGGCTCGGCCTGGTGGCACGGCGGTTAAGTTCACACATTCCATTTCAGCAGCCCGGGGTTCGCCAGTTCGGATCCTGGGTGCAGACCTACGCACCGCTTATCAAGCCATGCTGTGGTAGATGTCCAACATAAAAATAGAGGAAGATGGGCCCAGATGTTAGCTCAGGGCTTGTCTTTAGAAAAAAAAGACATTTAATACCTATCAGGTGGTTTCCAAGAACAAAACTGTCATCCAACCTAATGTGTTTAAAGCAAGATGAGAAGCACCAAAGTCTGCTGCCATTCCAGAAGAGCGTAGAACCATCCCCCCCCCCCCCCCCCCCCCCCCCCCAAACTGTTCTGGGGTCATTGATGGTCCTTAACCAACCAAGAGAGATCCGATGATAGCAGACCAAATCAGCCTTCCTACCCGGAGAGTTGGAACCTTGGGCAGCCCCAAGATCCCCCTAATGCCGAGGCTCCTCTAATATACGCTACCAGTTCCCAGATTCCTGGAGCAAACCAAGAGGTTACAAAGCCATTCTGACCCCTTGGCAATGATTAGCAACTGGAGAGTGTGAGGAGAGAAGATCAAGAGAGGCCCACCATTCTGTCCCAGGCAGGGAACTCACCTTCCAAGTAAATATGGCACCTCTATCCCCAGGTAATAAAGGCCAACTTTTGAATACTTTCTCAGTTAAAAATGGCTCCTGGTCACTGTGATTATTGTCCCTTTTTTTCATTTTAGATTCAAAAGGACTATCAAAGACAGAAGTATATAAATGTATTCACCCAACAAATAATATATTATGTACCAGGCACTGTTTTAGGTGCCAGGGATACAGCAGTGAACAGAAAGTCCCTGCTGTTATGGAGCTTCCATCCCAGCAGAGAAAAAGAGACAATAAATCATGTGTGCTACAACCTATGGAAGAAATAAAGCAGGATGAGGGTGGAAAGGATTGCTGACTTGTTTTGAGTAAGTTGTTCAGGAAAGATTTCTATAAGGTGATATTTGAGTCATCACTGAAGGAACTGCAGGAGCCGGGCAGCTCTCTGGGGCTGAGCATTCCAAGTAGAGACTACAGCAAGTGCAGAAGGCCTAAGGCAGAGCCAGCTAAGGGAGAAGGTGATAGACGCTGAGGTAGGAGTGCCCCTCCTTCTCTACCTTCACAAATCTTGCAGGCTTTGGAAACCATTGTAAGAGTTTGTCTTATACTTGAGCTGAGAAGCCATTGGCAGGTGTTGAGCATAAGAAGGACATGATCTGGCTTCCATGTTAGATGGGTTGACCATGTGTAATTATTAATAGTGTCCCCTTCATAGTCAGTCATGATCTGATATAGACAATAAAATTATATGATTACCCTAATTTTAAAAGAGTTACACTAGCTGTTCTATGGAAAGTAGACTTCAAGTGGGCAAGGGTAGGATCATGGAGATCCTTTACTGAATCTAAACGAGAGAGGAGAATGCCTTGGACCTGAGCAGTAGCAGTAAAGGTGCTGGGAAGTGGTCGGATTCTGCATGTATTTTGATGCTAGTGCTGACAGAATTTGCTAATGGTTTGGATATGGGGTGGAAGAGAAAGGGAGAGTCAAGGATGAGTCCAAGGTTTTTGACCAGATCACTGGAAAAGGAAAAAGATATATAGATAGCTATTCCCAGAAGAATAATGGAATCCAAAATATTTCTCTAGTCTTTAGGTTTTTTACTGAAAGGAGAACTTGGAAACAAGGAAAATCACGTGTTGTGGTTCAAATTGGAGTTTGTTATGGGGAGACTAGAGTGATAAATGCATTGTAATGTTGGAGCCTGATGTTTCTGAGATTTGGGAATACTGGAAAGAAGGGTTATGTTTTAGAATCTTTGGGGAGAAAGACTTAGTTTTTGTTCACATTGATTTTGGATAAATGGAGAGGAACATGAGAAATCATGAGACTGGTTCTTACAGAGTAGAAAATAGGAATCAGCAAAGGCTGGACATTAGAAGAGATGAAGAGGCTGTGCTGAAGATAATTATCCAGTCATCTCGTCTAACAACTGCTTTTTAATTGCTTATATGCCAAGCAGTGTGATAAGCTTTGTGAAAAGAAAGATTAAGGGAGTGAGAGGAGCAGGTTTACGCTTCAGTGGGAAGATAAATATTCCTTCCTCCCCAAAATGCAAGACAATCTAAGAATTGCTCGAATGATAGTATGTGTAGAAGATGGGAGGCACGTGTGAGAAGGGCCACATAAGCCTACCTGTGGTGTCAGGATGACGTCACAGATGAGAATGAGCTCTGAAATGAGAAGTTTGCCAAATGGACAAGTAGAGGGAATGGTAGGCGCAGAAGATGAAGGCATGAGAACTTATCGCTGGAGTATAAACTTTGAAGGGTAAAGGGAGCAAATGGCAGAAGATGAGGCTGTACAGTTTTGCTTAAAATCATCCAGGGACACTCAACTCATCTGTGTTAAAAACCACGTAAAAGAAAGATACAAAGAACGTGAATGGTGGGGGGCAACCTCTAGGAAAGGAGTGTGCAGTCCTGATTGAGTGGTCAAACATTCCTTCTAGGCAGTGTCCTTTTAAGTAGAGATGAACGTACGTGTCGTCTCTGCTCTTCCCTTACCTCAGGGGTTCTCAGCTTTAGCACAGTTGACATTTGGGGTTGGATAGTTCTTTGTTGTTGGGGGCTGCCCTGTGCATTGTAGGATTTTCAGCAGCATCCCTGCCCTCCACCCACTAGATGCCAGTAGCAACTCCTTTCAGTTGTGACAACCCAAAATGTCTCCAACTGTGCCAAATGTCCCCTGGGTTGGGCAAAATGTTCCCAGTTGAGAACCACTGCCTTACATCAAACTTAATGCTGTATTCCAGTGGTTGTCCCTTCATAATTTCTCTTAAATCCATGCCTTTCAGCCCATTTCTGCCACCCGAGACAGAGCTTCATCACGCTAGTTTCTGCATACTTTCCTAAATATGTTTTGTGTCTCTTTACTTTTTCACTATAGGAAGATTAGTCATCAGAAAGCTCAGCTATCACATATCACTCTGCTCATATGTGCGGTGGGTTCCCATTCTCTACCCCGTAATTCCAGACTTCTTATACAGGTACCCAGACCTTTCCAGACCCTGGCTCCAAGCTGTATCTCTAACCTCATTTCTCTGCTTTTTTGTATTCTCTTCTCCAACCAAATTGAACTTAACAATTTGGGGCCTCCAAAATACTCCTCACCCCACGTTTTCTCATCCACTTGCTCTTTGCTTATATTGTTGGCTATACCTACAAGGCCTGCCTTTCCGATTCCCAGCTGCATTATGAAATCTTGAAGGTCCAACTCAAATGCCACATCCTCAGTGATGGTTACTTCCTCTGCTCCTTTCCCTCTCCTTGCTCCAAATCATCTAATACTAACATTTATTGGTGTCTTACTGTTTTAGTCACTTGTCTACAAAGGAGAGGTGTATCTCTCCTCTTTGTATTCCTCATATTCTCCAAACATCCTGTCTTAGACAAAATAAGCAATGTTTGAATGACTCTAAATTATTGAGAAGCAGGATTGTCATAAACTGTGAAACATTGTTGCCACATTGATACTGTAATGTAAGAAGTATTAACACTATTAAAAATACTCAAATTCCAGAGACTATCAATATCGATACTATGTAACATTGAAGATTTTTCGCATTTATATCTTTCTTTTTCTTTCTAGCCTGCCTATCAGAATTTGAGACAACGTGTTGACAACTTTGTTGCAAACCACTTAGCAACCCATACGTGGAGTCCACACCTCAATAAGAACCAGCTGAGAAACAACATTAGACAGCAAGTGCTCAAGTAAGTCTCAGGTTACAGGGTTCCGAGGTGGGCTTGAAGATGTCACAGCTTTTCCTGAAAGCAGAGATGTTATGCAGACATTCATTCACCTGGTGATAATTTTGTCAAGTTTGGTATGGCTACTTCACGTTAGGATGCAGTGTAATTTTAGAGTAGCTTCTAATCACGTCACATTTCCCTCGTAAATTTTATCAATTTGATTTCTCCTGTAGACTTTTGGAAATATTGAAGGAAGGAAATGACAATGTGACTTTAAAAAGAAAACCCTAGATAAAATATTAATAGATGGTAAATACCAGAATAACCCATACAGTTACATTCGTAACTGTTTTCTTAGCCCTAAAAAAGAAGGCTTTATTATTCCTATTTTACAAATAAAGACATTAAAGATTACTGAAATTAAAATATTTTACCCTGATTTGAGTTTGTCTTCTGTCCTCTAATACAGCCCCCCGCCCTTGTCTTTTTTTTTTTTTTTTTGCATTTCACTGTGATTTGAACTCTGCTTCAGTGATGATATAGCCAAAAAGAAGAAGAAAAGAAGTCTGTTTGGACCTGTCAGAGCCATTTTTGGGTGAACATAAAATAAAGAGAATCAGAAGAGCTAGAACGTTTAGAGGGACCTAAAAAAATCATATTTATTGCAAGAAAAGGAGATTTACAATATTATCTTGTTCCTGAACATAAATATTTGCCAAGACAAGAAGACTCAGACTTTCTCTCCCTGGTTACCCCCCCAAAAAAGTGACTGAGTTATTTAAAGAGCGCCTAGTCTTCCTGCCTTGACAAATATTTACATTCAAGCACATCTTTTAGAATGAAATGTGGCTTTTAAACAGTTAAACAAATCTATTTTATACCTGCTCGCTCTGAGTTCCCTCTTGTCTCATGGGAACCTTGAGCTAGCCTTCTTAGTGTGCTACTCCATTGATAGTCTGACCCACAGGAAGCCCCACAAGTAAAACTTCACTCCCTGACTAAAAGACCCATTCAACCACAGGTAATAGTGGAAACCAGGAGCCTGGGGGTCAGGCTGTGTCTCCCTGTGAATAAGAAGAGGGAAATTTAACAATAGCTTTGTTGTCTACATTTTAAAGGATGTTTGAGGAACTTGTAAAGAGTCCAGGTGAGATCAAAAGATGCCGTTAATGGACTGCATAATAATACCTGTAGGAGAAAGTCAAAGCCTTTCCTGAAGAAGAGACTGAAGAGGTCTGTTGGGTGACAGGCCTGGACGTTTTCTCATTTCCAGGCCTTCCGGAGAACAATAAGCAAAATAGTAGGGGGTTGAGGGGATGGGGTGTGGGAGGCAAGCTTACTGACAGGATCACCGAGTGGGCCTACCAGCACACTTACACAGAGCTCTGCTCCTTAAAGAGTGCTTTTCATTCAACAATTTGCATAGCTGCTTCCCTTTTCACAAATGATTACAGTGCTTTAAAAGCATGTATGGGAGGGTGGTCTTGCATTCTTTTTCTTCATTATATTGAGAGAAAAAATGGAAGGCAAATTTCCTGGAATTGCATGTATTCCTTAATATATAAAATGTACAAAGTAAAGAAGCAGTCACTTATTCTCTTCTTTGAAAGGAGCTAAACTCAATCTTGCGCATGTTAAATCAGGTACTTCAAATTCTTGTTGTACCTACATAAGGCATTGTTTTCACAGAATCGTGTTTGGTGAGGGGTTGCTGTACACATCAGTGAGGGGTTCTTGTGACTGTCGGCGATTAATGCCGGAGCAGTCTGTCTGGGGGTGATGAGGACTCTCTGGAGACGACGTAGAACAGGGGAAACAGCTGTCTCGTGGATAATTTAGTCGTTGCTCTTCCTGGGACATTTGTAAATTTTCTTCTAGTTCTGTTATTTATTTTGAAGTAAACTATTTTCTTACTTAAAGTCCATTAGTAAAGTTATATGTTACTGATAACATTTTAAAGCTTCCTTAAAGAAAGACACTATTTAGTTATGTCTGATGGTACAGGGATGGACTAGCCTTTATAAATGGAATTTCAAAGTTTTTCATACATATACTTTGAGAAATACTGAACTGACTCTGTTAGGTTGAACCACCTATAATTGCCATTTTTGTAGTACAAAAACAGTCTATTGTCAGCAGTTTTGGATGGTTCAACTTAATAGCTAATTTGCCATCTCAATAGGGGGAAAAAGTCTTGTTCTATTTATGTTCATTTGTGCAACAGAATCTAAAAATGCTAGATAGCTCAGAAATAATGATCTTAACTGAACAGGATTTAAAAAGAAGACAAGGAAGTAGCTTTAACCAGGACAGTGCCAGCTGCTGGCATTTTGGCTTTGCCCTTCAACCTAGAGCAATGGCTTCTCTCTCTGGTGAGGGACCTGTGACCGTACCTCCCTAGATTGCACCCTCTGAGGACAGTGTGGTCATTAGCACTGGCCTCCATTTTTATTTAAGATCACAGCTGACCTCTGTGTGAAAGTGGACTGAAATAGACAAGGGGCCAAAATATAGGCAAACAGAGAGACTGAAGCCATAATTTGGGGTAGATGGCCTTTATTTTTTATTTTATGCCTTTGTGCTTGTGCTTTAAATCAAAACATTTTCAGTTTGTTTGTCCTTGTTTCTTTTCCACCTGCTATATTTTAAAGACACCTCTAAGATGTAACAATGTTTTCAGAATTTGTATTTTTTTTTTATCTTAGAACTTTTAAAAGCAGGTTACCTACTTTATGCACTGTTGACTCATTTTTCTCTATGGCCCACATAAGTAGAGTTGTAGTATCACAAGGCTGCAAGGTGCCTCAGGAAATGAAAATTGAGTTTGTCCTCCACTCCGGGCAGAGCTTCACTCAAAAATAGCCTTGCCAAGTGTAAGGAGAAACCCTTCTCCCATTCTGCAGAAAGATCCTGAAGCTAGAAGCTGGAAAGGACCAGCACCTGCTCTTCCAACACTGTTTAGGGAACTTTAAGCCCTCAAGTTCATTCTTAGGAAGAAACAAGGTTTAAGTGCATTTCTTAAAATAAATGCACATCCTCTTGTTTTTCTCAGACGCTTTTGTGATTTTCTGCACATTTCTGACTTTACTGCCCTCTTTGCTTCTCTGTCTCACGTATATTTCTGTAAGCTCTCTTTCTTCCCCTTCTCTTCTATGGAAGTCAAGACTTAGCTCAAGTGTCTTCTTTGTGAAGCGTTTCCAGGTTACCTTGGACACGTCTAATAATTCCTATGCTACTCTTCCTACAGTATCCAGTGTGTACTGGTGCCCGTCATCTGTGTTTCTATTGTTTGTGTCTGTCTCCCCACACAGGGACCAGGTCTGATTGTAGCTGCCCAGTGGCCAGCATGGTGCCCGTTATGTAGAAGACACTTGTAATGTAATTGTTGAATGAATAAATTATCTACTTTTTATAGCAGGAAGATAATAAAAAGAAAACCAGAAGTCTTGTTTTATTTTTATTTTCCTAAAGTTTTCTTTCTTTTTGTGTGTAAGTTTGATGAAATTACACTTTGTGTATGTTCTTCAGTTTTGCTGGAGACTCAAATACTTATAAAAGGCTTACATTTTTCTGTTAAAAAAAAAACTTGCAGAGTCCTTAGATTTATTTGATACCCAGAACTCAGCTCTAGTGATCACTTATTCCTCTCAGCCATGAGCAAGCGTGGGCTAAGATATATTTCTCCTATAATCCTGGGCTCTAGCTAGTGGACTCTGTCTAGTTCTGAGGGTGTTTCATTTTGGTTTTGGTTTTCCTGCTTTAGTATTTCCAGTAGGGGCACAGTGGGGGAAAGTTTATAGACTTTTTTACAGTGCGGTGTATCTAAAAGCCACAATAGTGTGAAACTTATTTTCCATTACCTATTCTTTCTATATATCCAGATGAATGGATTGGGCAATTTAAGGTTGAACAGATATGTAACAGATACAGTTGTACTTAAAAGTAATTAATGCAAATAATGTGAAATTATTGTTTTACCTTTCTGTAAATTATCCTGTGTTTCAGGTCAGGAATGTTGGAGTCTGGTATTGACCGAATTATTTCTCAGGTTGTGGATCCTAAGATCAACCACACATTCAGACCTCAGGTGGAGAAAGCTGTGCATGAGTTTTTGGCCACACTAAATCACAAAGAGGAAGCAAGTGGCAGCACAGCTCCGGATGATGAGAAACCAGATTCTTCCATCATTACACAAGGTGCTTTGCTTTTACTCTTGGTCAGTTCCATTGCTTTTCTTCTTGAACTGAGTACCAAGTTAGGGGTATTTGATTCTTTAAAATATTTCTCTATTTGGCTACTCTGCTGAAATTATATTTATTTTAAATACCACCTAATTCCTCACCTGGCATAACATTCCTTTTTTTTACAATAATGCAAAATAATAGACATTTGAGTAATGTTTTAGGTATGTGGCTGTGTGTTAAGAGAGGAAACAATTAAAATAATTAGAGAATATTTTCTTTTCCTGGGAACTAGAGTATTCTCATGTTTGTATGGTGCCTTTCCTAAGATACTATGTTAGAGAGGTAGAGAATTTAGAATTTGCTAGGTACGAGCACTGGTACCTGAAAGTCTGAAGGCGTATAAATGGTCTGCACAGCATATGTGTCATATAAAGATGGCCGTGGCATGTAACATTGATTCATCTGAGGGGTTTACCTTCTGCATGAATTTATTCTAAAATCTGTCTTTCCCTTGAAGGTGTCCCTGCTCCTGGGCCCAGTGCTAATGTAGCCAATGATGCTATGTCAATCTTAGAAACCATAACTTCTCTTAACCAAGAAGCTAGTGCTGCCAGGGCTTCGACAGAAGTGTCCAGTGCCAAGGCCAGTGAGAGAGTATCCAAAAAACTCCCATCTCAGCCAAGCACTGACACTAGTACTGAGAAAGAGAGAGCTTCAGAGGACATGATTGATAAAGAAAAATCTACACCTGATTCTGCAGGGGAAGGAATGGAAATATCCCCTAAATCTGAAGAATTTAATGATCTCCCTTGTGCAGTTGAAGAAATTAAAAATCACACAAAAGAGAGTAATAGTTCAATTCTACTAAATAAGGATATTCAACAGGAAAGTGGTGACCAAAAAAATAAATCAACTGACAAAGGTGAGAAGAAAGCAGACAGCAATGAAAAAGGAGAAAGGAAGAAAGAAAAGAAGGAAAAGACTGAAAAGAAATTTGATCACTCAAAAAGGAGTGAAGATACACAAAAAGTAAAAGATGAAAGACAACCAAAGGATAAAGAAGTAGAGTGTTCGAAACTCCCTTCAGAAAAGAACAGCAATAAAGCTAAAATCATTGAAGGGACTAAAGAAGGTATGTAAAAACTTGCAAAAATCTCCAACAATTTAAAGAACAAAAAGTATCTATTGGCAGGGGAGAAGGGTATCAAATTTTCCTTCAAATTTTAGTAAATTTGATACCTGTGTTTCAAAAGCCTGAAACCTCATTTGCCCTTGGCTGAAAAATGAGGAATAAACATTTGTATATTTGTTTTCTATGTTAATATACTAATTCACAAAAAGGAAAGAAACTCTAAACCTTACATTTAAATTTTGTAATTTATTTACATAAATTATTCAACAACTTAATTCATAGTTGTATATCTTAATCTCAAATAAAGTATTAGATAGTAAATATTTCAGTTACTTGCTTAAAATCTGCTTTTGTTTGTATCATTTGCATTGTAAATTAATCATTTAGTTATTTTTTACAGGATACTAGTTTGCCTTTATGTTTTCGGCAAATAGCTCTACCTTATTTGATATTGGTTACTAATAATGAGAGATTTTTCTTTCTAAATTGAAGTTCTTTGACATATATTTAAAGCAGAAAATTTTAAATGTAATTTAGAATTGGGTGCTGAGTTTGTTCTTGTAACAAATAATAATTTATCTTCTTTTCTTCTTTCTTTCATTTTCTTCTTGAAGATTGCTCGTTGATAGATTCTGATGTGGATGGACTAACAGACATCACAGTTAGCTCTGTCCATACCAGTGACCTTTCTTCTTTTGAAGAAGACACCGAGGAAGAAGTTGTAATGTCTGATAGCATGGAAGAAGGAGAGATTACATCAGATGGTAAAGCATTTTACTTAATAATGCCTCTGTGAAGCTTCTCGTCGAGCATTATTTCTATATTCAGATGGCTATGTCGTGAAAGACAGTGTGGTATAGTGGCAAGAGCATGGGACTTTGTAGTTGGAAGATTTGTATCTGAGTCCCAGCTCCGAGGTTGTCTATCTGGGCAAGCTTGGTAAGTTACTAAACTTCAGCAAGGCTTGGTTCTCTGTCTCTTAACTCCATCCCCTTGGATTATAAGATTTAGATGAAATAATGTATATGAAGATGGTGTAGATGTGTGTGGGTAGCATTTGGGGGAGCACAGTCCACAAGACTGCCTTCACTTCTGATACCAATTGAGAGTTCGGGGTCCCCAGCCTTACCCTTGGATTTGGTAATTAGCTAGAAGGACTCAGAGAACTCACTGAAAGCTGGTAACTCATGGTTATAGTTTATTACAACTAAGGGACACAGATGAAAATGAACCAAGGGAAGAGGCACACAAGCTAGATTCCAGGAAAGTTCCAAACATGAAGCTTCCAGTTGTCCTTTCCTTGTGGAGTCATGGACAGCATTACGTTCCCATCGTCAATGTCTGACAACACATATGGGTTATTGCCCACCAGGAAAGCTCACTGGACCCTTGATGTCCAATTTGTACTAGAGTTCCATCGTATAGACATAGCTGATTGCCCATGTATTTGGTCTCAGTCCCCAGCTCCTCTGAAGGTGAAGTTGATATCCCCATGACCCTAAGCCCCGACTCTAAATCACAGGCAACTTGGCTGACCCAAGACCCTTAGGCAAACAAAAACCCTCCTATCAGACGTAGCCTTCCAAAGGCGTAGAGATTCCCTCCCAGAAGCCGAGAGCAAGGACTAGCCCTCTCTTTACTATACAGTTTGTTTTCCAGCTAACCCTTATTAAGCACTTACTGTGTTCCAGGCTCTGTGCTCAATTCGTACACTATCCTGTGTAATAACTTCTGTAACCCTCACAACATCCCTGAGAAGTAGGTCCAGGTGATGAAACAAAGCCACTAAGGAGAGTTGTCTTGTCCTTAGTCACATGTCAGAGTGCCGGTGTCAATTTCAGATGTGAGACTCGGTTTCTAACCAATGCCTTATACTGCTCTTTACCACATTATTAAATTCTCTTTATCACTTTTTTAAAAAATTAAAAATAATATTGTTTGCATTGCCTGTAGGTAGCATCTTGTAAATTTGCCGGTGGCTTTTGGATAGAATACCTGGAAAGAAAACCATAGAGGAGAAAAAGTAGAAGCTTTTAATACCACAAGCATATTTTTCATCCTTTTCTTAGTATGCATTAAAAAACTAAACTACCAACCCAAAAAAGTAACAGCAGCACTTGCCACTTTTTATATCTATCCTCGTGAGGTCAGTTCTCTGTTCTACAGGAAGAATGCTGCTCATCCACGAACACTCCACTTTCTCTCCCCTAACTGAAATTCTAATTCTAGATGCTTATGGGGGTCTTTTCAAGTTTTTTCCTGGACAAGGCTAGATTTTATATGTATGGGATCCAAAAAGTAAGAAATGGCTATTTTGAGAGTACTAAGTGGTAGGAAATGAAAACCTTGCTTACAAAGTTTTCTTCTTCTTGCTGTGTCATGGGGAAACATAGCTGCCTTCCTAAGGTAGAGAGGCTTTGGTGTATACTTGGTGTAGGGCCAGTTAGTGATTCTTGCCTCTCCCGTAAATGAGAGACTCACAGGTGGTCATAGAAATCTCAAGTTTACTTTAAAGTACAGCTTCAAGTGAATTTGTTCAATTCAACAGTGGTAAAGCATTTGTGCCAAGCCCACTGACATACAAATGAGAATCAACTATTTGTCAAGAAATAGAACTCTACGGTCTAATTTTTCTTTGCCTTCTTTATGTGTGAGAAGCTAATTATTAAGAAATAAACCAAGATACAGATTATAGCCTTTACAGATGTCACATACTAGTATTTCCCCTGTTGAACCTGTAGGTATACCTCACCATATTGATACTGCTTTTGCTGCTTGACGTTTATTAAGCATAGTGTTGATGTTATTGCTAATTCACAGAAGTACTCCTCTATTGACTTTCTTCCAGATGAAGAGAAGAACAAGCAGAACAAAACGAAAACTCCGGCCAGTGATCCCGGTGAAGGAAAAGCAAAAAGCGTACGGCATTCTTACGTTCACAAGCCATATCTCTACTCAAAGTATTACAGTGATTCTGATGACGAACTTACTGTGGAACAACGGCGTCAGTCTATTGTAAGTCACATTTGACAAGGTTGACGAACCTGACTATTCTGTGTGCAAGGTACCGGGGAGCGTATGAAACAGTGACGGACAGCTTCTGCCTTCAGGAACTTTGTCCTTTCTCTAGGCAGCATAGACATAAACGTGTGACGGTGGTGTTCATGTCATCATGGTTAACAGTGAAAAATGGGTAACAACTTAAGTGTTTCACAGTATGGAAATCTTTGAGTCAAGTATGGATCAAGCCATAGAAAGATAGGATATGCAGCCATTAACATAATATTAAGATGGAAATGTAGTCCATGTATTTCCTGGATTTGAAAATATTTCTAATTATAAGATGTGTCATTGAAATTTTAATAGCTTTTTAGAGGAAAAAAATTGCTACCTCATTATATGTGTACATCAGTTTTCAGATGACTTGCAATTTCAGAAACATTTGAAATATGGAAAGTTGCACATCTTGGAATGAGGAAATATTATTACGTAGAAAAATGATTTAAGGAAGTACACCAATGATAATAGTGGCTTCTCTCTTGAAAAGTTTACTTGATCGTGAGTTACGCCTATGTTTAGGATTTTTGGCACTTTGAGACTTGGAGTTCTGAGCTGGAAAGGGGTGGGGGAGTAGCACACAATGACTAGATTCTCCCTGGCTTTAAAATAGGGGAGCAGAAAGTCCCATGTCCAAAACGTTGGTCCTAAGAGTGTAACCAGCAAGTCACATTTATTGTAGGGCTAGCCTGTCACTTGAATCTGCTTTTCAGCTTCCTTCTAAAAGAATAATCAAAAACTTATGGACACCTACCTGTGTGCACTTGATGCTCACAAATATTTTCATAGCTATCCTTTTAATTGAAGTAACCAATTTATTATGCCACTCTATCCCAAAATGACACCTTTCCCATTCTTTAAATTAATAGCATTCTGAAAGAGAAATGGAAAATTTTCACATCTATCTCTTATTATTCTAGTAGCTTACAAATCACGTAGTGTATATGCGCTTTTGCAGAGCCTATTACTTTGTAAGAACATTTGAATGGCAAACATATTTTTTTTTCAGAGAGTGTGTGCTTTTGCCTGATAATCTGTCAGGATAATTGTGAGTATTGTGTGGTTTTAGGCTAAAGAAAAAGAAGAGAGGCTTTTAAGAAGACAAATTAATAGAGAGAAACTTGAAGAAAAACGAAAACAGAAAGCAGAAAAGACAAAATCGTCAAAAGCTAAGACTCAAGGTATAGGAGATGTTAACTTTAATCTTTTAAACGATCTTATATACTCCATTATTTTCTAGATATTCATATTACTTATGAGTTGTGATTACAAAATAAAGTGATCCAAGTTACATCTTGGCAAAGCTGTTATATTAAAAAAAATTATTTATCTTCAGGTGTAGAAGATTTCCTTACTTTTCAATCTGATGTGTTTAGTCACTTTTTTTTATTATATTGCTGTATCTAAATTAAATATTCTATTGGGTGCCAGCTTACACATCTCACATGTTAGTAATTTATTTCCTAGTAATTGTGGAATGAATTATCACTGGAAATTGGATTGCTAACATGTGAGTAATCAAGCCTTGCCAGTGATATTAATGGAATTAATCTATGCTTTATGTTAACTAAAATGTCAAACATTTATCTAGAATATTTCATTAAACAAAATTGAACTTCCTCTGATCCTGTGTATGTAATATACAAACACATACACATATATAAGTATTTGAAATAAAGCAAGATGAGATCTCTTCATCTAGAATATTTTTTTATTCCAGCACAACTTAAGGATATTAAAGCTATTTTGCATTTTTATAGTGATTAGAAAATCTTAATGAAAAAGAAATATTACATTGTTTATAAAACTCTGTTCTGTAATATAGTTTATTGGTTGTTTCCTTTCTAGGCAAAAATAATATGGACTTAGAAGAATCATCAACAAAGAGTTCGGAACCTAAAGCCCCCAGAATTAAAGAAGTCCTTAAAGAACGGAAGGTTTTAGAGAAAAAAGTAGCTTTAAGCAAAAAAAGAAAAAAAGATTCAAGGTACATATTTTACCTGGCCACATTCCCATCGTAACATTCTCTGGTCATGCTTTTGAAAGACAGGCATTGAAAATGATGGTAAAGGGCCAGCCTCCAGTGGCAAAGTGGTTAGGTTTGGCTTACTCCACTTTGGCAGCCTGGGTTTGGTTCCTGGGCACAGACCTACACCACTTGTCTGTCAATGGCCATGTTGTCATGGCAGCTCACGTACAAAAAGAGGAAGATTGGCAGTGGATGTTAGCTCAGGGTGAATCTTCCTCAACAAAAAAGAAAAAGAAAAGAAAATGACAGTAAAGAGGCATACCTTGAATATGTATGTTATTGCATGTTTATGAAAGACCTTAGAGTTTCATTTTTAGTATCGTGATTCATTGTGTTAATATCTATACTATTTCAAAGTAGTATATCTTAATCTTTTGGTGGGGGGGCGGGTTTCCAGACCTTTTTGATAATCTGATGGAAGCTTTGGACTTTCTCCCCAGAAAAATGCACGCACATAAGCACATAGTTGTCCCTCGAGTTTCAGAGAGTTTATGGACCCTCTAGAAGTAGTCAGGAAGTATCCCCATTCTGGACATTCAGAACCACTTATTTACAGTGATTGCATCCATTTTCCAGTCTTTCCAGGCAATTCTCTTCACCAGTATCCCACACTTCTCCCCTTAAACCAGGGGTGTGGACCAAATTCTTTTTTAACCCCTCATTGTTAACTATAAGAATTAGAAAACTGAAGAGACCGAGAGTATCTATGAAGTTATATGAGCCATGGGCTACAGTTTTGCTGTTCCATCAAAATACAATTATGTACATTTAGCACAGACTTCAGGATAGCTAAATCAATAATTTGCAGAAGTTAGTGGGAATCAGCACTCAGTTTTCTTATTTTACTTCATTTCTATTGATCTGAATAAATAAGACTACCCTGTTTACTCAAAAGATGTTAAGACTTTCAAATGTAATTATAGCCCATTAAATATTTATCTTTAAGCAACAAATCCGGAAGTTTTGTTTCAAGTATACTTTCCTTTAGCACCAAGAGTAGTCCATGTCGCGTTTGGAATTATGTTCTCTTCTGTTGACTCAGAATAGGATTTAAATTGAAATGTAACAAGTCTCCGTTTATGGATCAAGTGTTTATAGTAAAGGAAAGCTAAGCTTTGTTTTTTAACCTTCCTGAGAAGTTCTTATATTAGATTCAAACAACGTTCATATTTCACTTTTTCTCCCACTTAGGAATGTTGAAGAGAATTCTAAAAAGAAACAGCAATCTGAAGAAGATGCCAAAGAAACCCTTAAAACAAATGAGGTATGTCCTAATTAATAAAATCCCATTTTAAATGCTCTTTTGTTAGATTTTAGCCATTCAGTCCTTTGGAGTAAAACTCGGAATGCAGTTCGATCTTTTCCAAGTTAAATAAAAAATCCTTTATCTTACACTCTGGAACTCCCATCCTATTATGGCCTGAATTCCTCATTTTGGCAAGTTGATTCATGTGATCTTTTTCTCTAGAACATGCCTACTGTTCTACTTTTCCTCTCTTCCCAACCCCCTAGCCTCCCATTTCTTATATTGGCAATAACAAAATTGCCAGTAATAATAATGAAAAAGAAAAGAGAGAGAAAACCTGAAATCGCTTTGCTGTAACAAATCGTCTGTTTCATTGTCTTTCTTTTCTCATCCATATATGTACATAATTTTGTAGAGTGGATGTAATCTTCCAAAATGTTTTTAATATTACCTCTTACTTGTTTCATGTTACTTTGTAAGCTTTCTAATTATTATATTTGACAATTGCCTAGTGTTACACTGCGTGGATATACTGTAATTCAAGCATTCCCTTATAGTTGAACACTTAGATTGTTTCCCACGTTTGATCAATTTAAATAGTAAAAATATGTGCAATTAGTACATTTTTCCCCCTTTTTGAATTATTTTCTTGGGATAAACTTTTGCTTTCACTGGGTTTAAATCCTTATTTATACTGCCACATTTGTAATCCCATAGCTGAAACTTCTAAGGGAAAACTAATAATTTATTATTTGTTCATAGCCAGTAAATATTCCTATTTCTTTATTCAGAAATTAGAGGCATATTTATAAGTATACCCAGATATTTTAATGGCATATTTTTAAATATTTAACTTTATTTTGTGATAAATTTCTTTGAAAAATTATCTCACAAACTTTTATTCACACTAATTGGTTAGAACTTACTGTAAAATTAGGTTGACGAAATCTCTTTTCTTTCTTTGAGGAATTTAGTTTTAAAGTAGTTTTTAAGATTTTGCTATATCCTGGTTGCTATATTAGTAGAAGTACGTTAATCTGTGTGTTAAATTGTAAGGAGGTGAACTGGTAAGCTGACCAGAGACTTAAGATTCTTTCTGAGAACTTCGCCCAGTATTTGAAGAGTAGTAATTATAGCTAGTAGTCAGTGAGTCTTCGCTAAAATGTGTTTAGTCAGCGTCCACTCATTAACGTTAGTAACCTACTCAGTGCCATACTGTGGGATAGGGAGGAAAGTTTAGATGCTTTGGTCTGTCAATATCTTCCTTTGGATGCACATATATATACATACATTATATGTGATATGGTTACTGTTACTGTGAGTTGTTGTGTACTTTTGAAACTACTTAAGTAGAATGTCCTACAAGCAACCTAAATTCGTGAGGTTCCTATAAATAATTTGGTTTTCCAAATTAAAATATAGGAAACCTTTATTTCAATATAAAATTTTTAAATTGTCTTCATCAGTAGGTATTACACTTTTGGACTGAAAAGAACATTGGATTGTTGTTCATCGAGTTTATATTCATTAACGAGTACTGAACATTGGTGGGTTTTAGAAATTTAGAGTTAAAGAGGGCCACCTAAATGCATGGACAAATCTTGGGAGAAATAACTAGTCTCTATAAAGATGCCTGTGCTGTAGTAGGAAGAGGACTAGGCTCAAAGTGAGATCATCCGAACTCATTGTCTGGGTGTCAAGTTATTGAGTCATGCTGAGCTTCAGTTTCCTGGTGCAAAAATACCTACCAAAGGCTGCTGGCAAAGATTAACTATGATGTAAGATAAATGACAGCACTCGATGTATTAAATGCACCCAGATGTTAAATTTGAATATAAAAATTGATTTCTTACATTTTAACCTTTATCTTCTTACAGCATTGTGAAAAGGAAAAGGCATCTTCTTCAAAAGATTTGAAACATGTGCATGCAAAAAATGAACCAAGTAAACCTGCACGGAGACTTTCAGAGTCTTTGCATGCAGCTGATGAAAATAAAAATGAGCCCAAAATAGAAAGAGAACATAAAAGACGGACCTCTACCCCTGTTGTGGTGGAAGGGACACAGGAAGAGAGTGACACACGAGATGGAAAAAGACAAATGGAACGCTCAGAAAGTGGCACAGAAGAGCCCCAGAAACAGAAAAGCACAGTTAAAAATGAAAAGCATCTAAAGAAAGATGATTCTGAAACACCACATGTGAAAAACCTACCTAAGAAAGAGGCGAAATCCTCCAAGGAGAAGCTTGAAAAAGAGAAAACTGTGTCAGAGGACAAATTGTCTATGAAACATAAATATAAAGGTGACAGTATGCATAAAACAGGTGACGAGACCGAGCTTCACTCTTCAGAGAAAGGGTTAAGGGTAGACGAAAGTATTCAGAAGCAAAGTCAACAAACAAAGCTTTCTTCAGATGATAAAGCTGAACGAAAAAGTAAACATAGGAATGAAAGGAAATTATCAGTTTTAGGCAAAGATGGAAAGCCAGTTTCTGAATATATTATAAAAACAGATGAGAATGTTCGTAAAGAAAACAACAAAAAAGAGAGACACGTGTCAACTGAAAAAACTAAGGCAGAGCACAAATCAAGAAGATCAAGTGATTCTAAAATTCAGAAAGATTCTCTGAGTTCCAAGCAACATGGTATCACATTACAGAGAAGAAGTGAAAGTTATTCAGAGGATAAGTGTGATACGGACTCAACTAATTTAGATAGTAATTCAAAACCAGAAGAGATCCTTCACAAGGAGAAGCGAAGAACAAAGAGCTTGTTAGAAGACAAACTTATGTTAAAGGCTAAATCAAAAAGTCAAGGCAAACAGTTAAAAGTAGTTGAAACAGAATTACAAGAAAGCATCACCAAACAGGCCACCACTCCAAAACCAGATAAGGAGAAGAACACAGAAGAAAGTGACTCAGATAGACAGCGAAAGTCTAAAGTTGAGGACAAACCTGAGGAAACTGGTCTTGAACCTGTATTAGAGAATGCTGCTTCAGCACATGGTACCCAGAAGGATTCTAGTCACAGAGCTAAGTTACTATTAGCAAAGGAGAAATGTAAGGGAGATAAAGATTCAGTCTCTTCCAGACTTGAGAGAAAGTTATCAGATGGGCACAAAAGCAGAAGCTTAAAGCATAGTAGTAAAGACGTCAAAAAGAAGGAAGAAAATAAATCAGATGACAAGGAGGGTAAAGAAGTTGATAGTAATCATGAAAAGACCAGAGGGAATAGTTCAGTTCTGGAAAAGAAATTAAGTAGAAGGTTGTGTGAAAATCGAAGAGGAAGCTTATCGCAAGAAATGACCAAAGGAGAAGAAAAATTAGCAGTGAACACCTTCGGCACTCCCAGTAGTTCCTCCCTTCAGAGACCAAAAAGAAGTGGTGATACCACATTGATCCCTGAACAAGAGCCAATGGAAATTGATTCTGAGGCAGCTGTTGAAAATTTGTTTGAAGTATCTAAAAACCAAGACAGCAGCAGTAATAGTTCTCAGCAAGACGTTGACTCTGAAAATGGTATGAAACAAAAAACTACTGCCACTGTTCTAAAGGATGAATTACGAACTTCCACAGTAGATTCAAAAACAGCAGTTCCAGCCTGTAAATTGGGACGTGCGACAGGAGTTGTTAGTAATTCTGAAAAGCACACTGACCATAAAATTACTCTGACCAAGAAAGTGCATATTGAAAGTGCTGTGTCCAAACCAAATCCCGGGGAGAAAGAACCCACTCAAGCAACTCATGAAGTGAATGTAGACTCTGAAACTAGTCACAGAATATTACCTCATGCCCTTTCAGAAAATGACAAGGCACAAAAGAATTTGAAAAACACAACTAAACCCACTGAAGAACATAATGCTCAAGGAGATGCTGCTGTTGAACATTCCACAAATTTAGACCCCTCACCATCCTTAAGTTCAGTGACTGTTGTGCCTCAGAAACAATCTCATGATTCAGATGCAATTCCTTTAGTGGACAAAAGAACTGTTTTAGAAGGTGGCACAGCTAGCACCTCACCTGTGGACCACCCTCATATTCCTAGTCAAAGTTTGGCTGTTAGGGAATCAGAAGCCCCTGGGACAAGTGACAGCAAAGAAGGAGGTACAGTTTCCACAGTAGATACACCAGCAAAAGCAAGCATAGATAGCAAAAGACACATTCCAGAAGGTTACCAGGCCACTGTACTGGAGAATAAACAAGGGAAAGTAAATATGCCTCTTGGCAGTGAGTTCACAGACGTGATTATGGAAAATGAGAATGTTCACAAAGTACGTGGCTTGATGGACATGGCCCAGAAAGATGACTTAATTACAGAGCCCAGTTCAAAGCAGACATTTAGAGCTGCAGTAGAAAATGGTACAAAGAATGGCATTGCTGTTGACCATGTGGTAGGCATGAGTACAGGAAAAGATACTGAAACTATTGAACTGAGGCATAGTCGAGGCCCAGGTGAAGTAGAAAACATGTCAATTGATGTTGAAAGACGGAATGAAAACAGTGAGGTAGACACCAGTGCTGGAAGTAACACCACATCGTCTGTTTTAGAACAAAGGAATGGAAAAACTGAGAATGTGACGACTGGGTCTGGTAGAGCAGAAAAGACTTCTGTTGCCACTAGCACTGAAGGGAAGGACGACAATGTTAACTCAATTCCGGTAAAAGCAGGGGATGCTACAACCACTTCCTCAGAAACAGGAGAGGGTGAGGTGGCTGTGCCTTGCACAAGCATTGAGGCAGATGAAGGCTTCATAACAGGTGCCTGCTGCAGAAACAATCCTCTTCACATTGGGGCAGAAGCCAGCGAATGCACTGTTTTTGCTGCAGCTGAAGAAGGTGGCGGCATTGTCACAGAAGGATTTGCTGAAAGTGAAACTTTCCTTACAAGCACCAAGGAAGGAGAAATTAGAGAGTGTACTATGGCTGAATCTGAAGAAGCTGCAGCAGACCCAGTGACTGCTCACACTGTTAAAATTGAAGACAATGTCAATAGCGTTGTGACAGAAGAGAAAGATGATGCCGTAACCAGTGCAGGCTCTGAAGAAAAATGTGATGATGGTTCTTCAAGTAGAGACTCAGAAATAGTTGAAGGAACTGTTACTTTTATTAGTGAAGTTGAAAGCGATGGAGCGGTAACAAGTGCTGGGACAGAAATAAGAGAGGGATCCTTAGGCAGTGAAGAGGTAGACGGATTCCAGAGAAATACAATGAGAATGGGCTGCACAAAAGAAACTGAAGGGACTGTGACGTGTACAGGAGCAGAAAGGAGAAGTGATAACTTTGTTATGTGCTCAGTAACTGGTGCAGGGCCACAGGAGGAGCGCATGGTTACAGGTGCAGCTGTGATCCTGGTAGATAACAACACACCACCAGGAACAAGTGCCACCCAAGAAGGAGATGGTTCCGTGAATGATGGTACAGAAGGTGAAAGTGCAGTCACCAGCACAGGGATAATGGAAGAAGATGGAGAGGGGCCAGCAAGTTGCACAGGTTCAGAAGAGAGCAGCGAAGGCTTTGCTATAAGTTCTGAGTCAGAAGAAAATGGAGAGAGTGCGATGGACAGCACAGTAGCCAAAGAAGTCACTAATGTACCATTAGTCGCTGCTGGTCCATGTGATGATGAAGGCATTGTAACCAGCACAGGTGCAAAAGAGGAAGATGATGAAGGCGAGGGTGTCGTGACTAGTACCGGAAGAGGAAATGAAGTTGGGCACGCGTCAACTTGCACGGGGATAGAAGAAGAGAGTGAAGGGATATCAATTTGTGAAAGTGCAGAAGAAGGAGACAGTCAGATTGGTACTGCAGTAGGGCATGTGGAAGCTGAGGCTGGAGCAGCCATCACCAATGCAAATGAAAGTAATGTTGATAGCATGACTGGTGCAGAGAAGGAAATTAAAGATACAGAGATCTGCTCCAGTGCAAAAGGCATGGTAGAAAGCAGTGTGACCAGTGCAGTTTCAGGAAAGGGTGAAGGGGCACCAGTGCCTGAAGGTTGCGAGGGTCCCATGACTAGTGTGGCTTCAGATCAAAGTGCCAGTCAGCTCACCAGAAAAGAAAAAGTTGAAGATACCCCTATTTCCACTGGCCTTGTCGGGGGCAGTTATGAGGTACTTGTATCTGGTGCAGTCCCAGAATATGAAGTTCATCACACATTGCCAAGTGAGAAAGAAGATGAAGGTATCATCACCTCTGTGGAAAATGAAGAATGTGATGGCCTCATGGCTACTACAGCCAGTGACAGTATTACCAACCAAACTTGTTTAGGTGGGGGCAAAAGTCAAGGCAAAGGCTTGATGATTTCCACCAGTACAACAAATGATTGCATCACTCAGTTAAGCATGATTGCAGACGTGGAAGGTCATTCAAGTGCTCTGAGAACTGAAGAAAATATGGAAGGAACCAGAGTAAACGTGGAAGAATTTGAGGCCCCAATGCCCAGTGCAGTTTCAGGAGATGAGAGCCAGCTCCCTGCTACAAGAACTGAAGAGAAAGATGAGTGTGCCATGATTTCCACAAGCATAGGGGAAGAATTTGAAGTGCGTATTTCCAGTGCAACAACCATCAAAGATGCTGAAAGTCAGCAGACAGTTGCAACAGTTGAAGAAAGAGCTAAAGGTCCAATGTTGGCAAGCACTGATGACTTTGAGGGGCCCATGCCCAGTGCACCCACAGAAGTTGATAGTCCTCTTGCCTCAACCAGCAAGGAGGAGAAAGATGAATGTGCTCTCATTTCCACCAGCATAGCAGAAGAATGTGAGGCCTCTATTTCTGGTGTAGCTGTAGAAAATGAAAATGAGCAATCTCTTACAGTCATGGAAGAAAAAGATGGGAGTGCTGTCATCTCAACAAGCTCAGTAGAAGACTGTGAGGGTCCAGTGTCCAGTGCTGTCCCTCAGGAAGAAGTTCATCCCTCAGTCACACCAGTGGAAGAGATAAGTGACACCACCATGATTTCTACAAGCACCACTGAAGGATGTGAAGCAGTCATGATGGGTGCTGTCCCACCAGATGAAGATCAGCCCACTGTTGCAAGAATGGAGGACTTGAGTGATGCTGCCGTCATCTCCACGAGCACAGCCGAATGTGTGCTGATTGTCACTGGCCTAGACAGACACGAAGAGAATCGGCTGACTGCAGACAACCCAGAAGGAAAACATGACCTGTCGGCTGCAAAGGCAAGCAAGTATGAGGTCCCTATGCCCAGCCTAATTGCTGAGAACAACTGTCAGCATCCTGGGCCGTTCACGGGAGGAAGAGAAGTGGGCCCTGTGATGGCAGTGAGCTCCAAGGAAGGGCGTGACAGCACATCAATCAGCGTGCTCTCTGCAGAGGGAGGCCAGCCAGGTGCTGTGTGTACACAAGAGAAAGAGAGGCATGGCAAAGACTGTCTTGGCAAAGTATCTCCTACAGGAAGAGGACAGAATGCAAGCACCTTGCCCCTCGTAAATGCAGAAGAGAAGAGTGTCCAGTTGAGCTCTGTTGAGAGGGAAGATAAAAGCCCTGAGGCAGGGACAGCAGGGGACAGTACCACAGGGAGCTGTTCAGCAGAGAGGGGCGAGGAGAGAAGTGCTGACTCACCTGTCCATCTGAGAGGACCTGAGCAAACATGTGGGCAGATGGCTGAAGACTCCGCCGTCAGTATTGGCTGTTTGACAGCAAAACATACTGGTGCTATAGAAGCTGGTGACATGCCACAAGTCAAAGACGCTGCAGCGGAGCCGTCATCACCTCCTCCTGACCAACAGAGGCCTGAGGGCAACTTGAAAACCACCGTCACTGAATGTATTAATGGCCAAGAATCAGAAGTTGCTCCTTCCCACACAACAGTCCTTCCAGCTGCCTTCGATGTAGCTCTTTCAGCTCCTAAATGTGAGCAGAACCTGACCATAGAGAGTGATCACAGTGGCACATGGACTGTTCAAGTGTCTGCTGAAAAAACTGGAGATGGTAACGGCATGACAAAGTTACTCCAGGAGGAAGGAGACCTGGAGGTCACTGTTTCTTCTCAAGAAAATTTGTGCAACAAAGGTGAGAATTTCTAATTGTAAATTTTAGCATTTTCCAAAAATGATTGTATGTGGAATACACTTAAGACAATCTTAGGAAAGATGGTTTTGGTGCTGGAATGTCACACAATAACTTTCATCAAACTTGAAGGTTGACCTTCTCTAAAAGAAAGTTGTGTTTAAATGCTTAAGACCTTAGACCCGTTTCTCCTGTGCAATAAGAAAAGAGGCAGGAGGCCAAGGGACAGGAAGTCAGCTAGCCACGTGTCACCTGCATGACTGTTGCATGTTACTAAAGCTCTTTGACCTTCAGGTTCTTGTCAATCAAATTGAAGAATACCTTACAACCACCCTGTGAAATGAGTATTTTTTTATCATTTTCATTTTACAAATGAGGAAATGGGTTCAGAGAATTTAAATAACTTACATAGTACTTGGGTGCTTTTTAGAAAAAAGTTGCTTCTGAGGCTCAGTTTTCTGTTGTATAAAATGGAGGTAATAGTACAAAAACAAACATCATTCCAGCCCTTGTCTGACTTAGTATAGATTTACAGTATGTGTCAGTTCAGTCCAGCTGGCTACTTCTAATCAAGGCAGCACATTATTATTTATGAACATATGTATGTATGTATTTGCTTGCTAGCTTGCTAAGGATGATTCAGCAAGCATCTGAATGTTTGCCCTGAGCTAATATCTGTTGCCAATCTTCCCCTTTTTCACTTGAGGAAGATTCACCAAGCTAACATCTCTGCCAGTCTTCTATTTCGTATGTGGGTCACGGCCACAACATGGCTGCTGACGAGTGGTATAGGTCCACACCCACGAACCAAACCAGGGCCACCGAAGTGGAGCATGACGAACTTAAGAGCTAGGCCCTGGGGCCAGCCCCCACATTATTATATTTTTTAACTGAGTTTATTGTTCAGTTAAAATGAGTTAGTTTCTGGTTTAGAATATGTTTTAAAGAGAAAAGAAATGTGTTCTCTCCCAATTTCAGAGAGTGCTAGTCTTGTTAGAAATAGTTGGTAATTTTCAAAGCTATAAGCTTTGAGCTTAGTCATTCCTTATACCTTCCAATTTTGGACACTTGTACTAGCTACTGCTGTGCTAGACTCTGGGGATACAAAGATAAAGTCAAGATGAGAAGATAGCTGGGAATCCAGCCATGCGTTATAAGTAGGCAGTGACAGGTGCTTAGAGTGGGGTTAAGCACAGGATGCTGTGAGAATTCAAAGGGAGCACATGGGCTAGGCTTAAGGGGGTCAGGAACGTTGACCTCTTTCCCACTCCGGCTGTATAAAATGTAGCATCTTGGACTTTAAACTGGAACAGACCTTAGATAGCACCTATTGCAGCCTCAGAAAGCTGAGACTATTAGCTTTAGTCCTGTTCATTATGGGGACTTAAATAGGAGACGTCTAAGAAATGTTGTTGAAATAAGTCACTTTAAATTTTTTCATTGGATGCAGCCTGGGGTAAATTGAATGCTCTGAAAGTTTTTATGACTTAAACATTGCTACAGTCTGTTACTCCTTCCTCCCCATTGCTTTCTTCTGAAGGAGCAAAAATACAAAGGCTATTAGCAAGGATAAGCCTGCAGCCTCTTGGAGGAAGGAAGGATTTTCTTTGGAGGCTTATGTGTGGGCAGGTGAGGGAACCTGGAAGCCACGAGTCACAGAAGGACAAGAGAGAGAAAGAAAGAAAGGTCCAAAACAAGGGATGGAATTGAGTCTCCACCAGAGAAAATTCCATTTTCTTTTTGTCTGCCTCACAGTTCTTTAACTTTACGTTCACCTTTGCTGTGTCAGCGTGAAGCAAGGGAAGTGAGTCTATTCGTAAATCGCCTTCTTTATTGAGAATATACCTCAGTGGCCCAGAATATTTTCTTATAGGGACAAACGATGCAGATCACTATAGAAAAATACTTGGAAATGTCACCACAAATAATATTTTATTCTTTCTGGGCAGCCATCTTAACAGTAATAAACAGCTTCACTCAAAACCAAATGAGTAAATGACTCCTGGCTTTCATCCCAGATTTTTCATACATATTCCTCTTTATTATTTTCTACTGATGGCAAAATGAAACAGCAGAGGAAGGGGGCATGGTGTGCTAGATAGCAACATTCTGTTACCTTGTGATTCAGGATATATTTTGCAAGCATTCTTAAATTGGTCTCATGGTTTGAATTTCATTAGGCAATGAAGAGTCTCCAACAAATGTTTTGGGAGGATTGGAACTGAAAGCCAACTTGAAAACTGAGGTATGGCTGATAATTCAGTTATGCTGAACTGTAAGTGGTACCATTAAGTACCATTTCACCACATATATACATATATACACTTAAGCAGTATATAGCTCCTGTTCTCTTTGTATTTAAGACATTTAAGTATTGTTAGTGTCACATCCTATTGGGGGGAAGCTAAGAACCTCAATAATCTCAATGGGCAGTGCCATCCTCGATTCCATTTACTCAAACCAGAAACCTGAGTCATCCTCAGTTTCTCCTTGTCACCCACATTTAATCCATCGCCAATTCTTATGGTTTCAATTTCCAAAATTAACATGAATCCATCTGTTTTTGTTTCTACAGCTGCCATCCTAGTCTAAGCCACTATTTCGTTAGTGTCCCCATTGGACTTCCTTCCTCTCCAGCCCCTCCCTCTTCCAGTCTGAGAGTTATCTTTAAAAACATAAATTAGGTCATGTCATTACTCTGTGTAAAATTCCCAATGGCATACCATCATACTTAGAATAAAGTCTTTTTTTTTTATCATCATGGCCCATGTGCTTTACATAATTTAGTCTCCGCGCCCCCTTTCCAGCCTGATCTCATGGCACCCTCCAAGTCTGCATAACAAAATAGCTGTAAACAAGGGGGCTATGAATAGTGCAGAGGAGCCTCAACTCACCAGCAGGAGCCATAAGTGAGCACACAGAGGGCTTGCAAGGAGGACATATGAGTGGAATTTTGCAAGTTAAAGTTTACCAGAGAAGGAAAAGAAAGAGCCTTCCAGGCAAAGAAGCATACTCTAGACACAGAGAGAGCAGGGCCAGTGGTGAGTCCCAGGCCCTGCAGGGGTTCAGGGGGAGCTGTGGTGAGACTTCAGCATGGCAAGGGAGTGGGACCTGATCAGGAAGGGCCTTGTGTGTTGTACCAAGTTTGGGTTTTACTTTAAAGCAATAGGAGAGCTACTGATGGATGAAATATGGGATTAGATTGATTTCGTTTTTTTGTTTTTAAAGGTTGACATGTATTCAATTTTAAGTTTTCCACAGACTTGAAAGTAGGCTTTTATATTGTTACAAGATGCTGAGTGTTTTTGTTTGACTCATTTGAGTTTAGCCTTGCCTTCTTATAAAAACCTCAGTTAACTTATATTTTTTGGTGCTTTGAACTTTTTAGACATTTGTACCAACAGAGGAAGAGAAAAATCCTGAAATTCTAGCACCACCGGAAAGTCCACGTGGGAAAAAGTCAAGTGGACTAGGTAAATTCCTTTTAACGGTTGTTCACATTATTTTTTCCTTGCATGTGGTTTTGCCTTTCATTGCAGCTTAAAATCAATAGCCAATTAGTAATAAAACACTGACAGGCTATATGAATTTGCCTCTCACTTTTTCAATAGGTTAGAGAGAACTCGTTACTATTTCATTTTAACGTATACTTTTTCTTATCAAGTGTCAATCTATTTTATGTAAAGTAATTATTTCAATCTGTTATCTCCAAGTAATTATAGCAAAAAGAAAGTTACTTTGGAGCAATTGCTTGCTCTGTCCCAAAAATGTGTCTATGTGTGCCTTCCTGCCCTTCCAGGTGGTATCAAAGCTCATTTCCAAAAGGCTAGTCTGCAGCCTATTTGCCCACTTCTTTAAACCTCTTCTGCTCTTACCCCTTGGACTCTGGCTGTTGCCCCAGTGACTGCACTGAAGCTGCTCCCAGCTTGTAGGGCCTTTTCTCAGTGTCTCTGTACAGCAGTCTTCATGATCTACTGCAGATTTTTTAAGGGAGAGCCCCAATATCAGAAAGGATTAGGGCAGCAGCTCTCTACCTCTTTGGTCTCAGGACCACTTTACGCTCTTAAAAATCATTGAGGAGAGGCCGGCCCCGTGGCATAGTGGTTAAGTCTGGCACACTCCACTTCAGTGGCCCGGGTTTGCAGGTTCAGATCCCAGGAGTGGATATATACCACTTGTCAAGCCATGCTGTGGCAGTGACCCACATACAAAATAGAGGAAGACTGGCATATATATTAGCTCAAGGCTAATCTTCCTCAAGCAAAAAAAGAGCAAGATTGGCAACAGATGTTAGTGCAGAGTGAGTCTTCCTTACCAAAAAAAAAATATTATTGAGGATCCTTTAAAGAGCTTTTGTTATATGGGTTATGCCTGTTGACATTTATCAAATAAGAAATTAAAACTGGGGAAGTTATAAAATATATATTAATTCAGTATTGTTAACTCACTATGAGTTAACATAAATAAGATTTTTTCATGAAAAATAGCTAGATTTTCCGAAACAAAATTTAGTAAGTGAAATTGTTTCACATGTTTGTAAATCTCTTTGTCTAGCTTAATAGAAAACAGCTGGTTTCTCATATCTGTTTCTATGTCCAGTCTGTTGCTGTTTGTTGTCTTGGTTGAAATATATGAAGAAAATCCAACATCCCACATATATGGCTAGATTTTAATAGCCTTTTCAGCTAATTTTGGGTACATCATATGACCTCTGGAAAACTCCATTATGTACTCATGAGTTTAAAAGGTGACTAACGTCTTAGTATTATTATGACAATAGTTTGGACCTTGTGGACCTCTTAATGGAAGGTCTCAGGAATTCCCAGGGGGTCCCTGGGCCACACTTTGGGAACCACTGGGTTAGAGAAATGGAAATGAGAATTGTGACAATGCAAAATTATTTCTGGTTTGTACTCCATTCACTATTGTAAGTTTTCTTCTGATTCTCACATTAACTAGGAAAAAGGCAATAAGAACCCCAGAGTATGTGACCAAGTTTCAACCAGTTGTTTTTCTGGCAATGTTGAAATGGCTGTGAAAGTCAGGTGGAACAATCAGGGTGATTTTTGGTTGCAAGTAAGAGAAACCCTTCAAGTATTTACTTAAAGGGAATTTATTAGGTCACTGATTTATCAGTTCAGGCTGCTCTAATAGAATACCATAGACTGAGAGGCTCAAACAATAAGTATTTATTTTTCATGGTTCTAGAGGCTGGAAGTCCAAGTTCAGGGTGCCCGCCTTGTGGGATTCTTAGTGAGGGCTCTCTTCCTGGTTATGTCCTCCCATGGCCTTCCTTGGTGCTTGTGCAAAGAGAGAGAGATCTCATGTCTCCTTCTCTTTTTATAAGGACGCTAATCCCATCACCAGAACTCTACCCACATGACCTCATCTAAACCTGATCACTTCCCAAAGGCCCCACCTCCAAATACCATCTCATTGGGGATTAGGGTTTCAGTATATGGGGGACGATATAGTCACTTTTTGGGGGACGCAAACATCCAGTCCATAGCATTCACAAAACTGAAAAGTTTAGGCAAAGCATGAGCCAAGAGCAGGATGATGTCCCCAAAGAGACATCCTACAAGGGCCTAGTTTCTTATTTTCTCCCTTAGCCTCTGACAGGGGTAATTGCTTTCTCATTCATGGCCTCTAGAAAAATATCTTTGTCCTATCATTCCCAGCCTAAATCCTGAGATTTGTTCTGATTCAGTTTAGGTAACTGTATTCACCTTAGACTGATTGGTGTGACCAGATGAATATAACTTGCTGGTTGACTTAAATTAAGTCAAGTGCTCTGTTCATTGGGCAAGAATAGAATTGGTGTCTCTGGAACCACGTTGTGCCCCAGACCACAATCTGGGCTCTGGGGAAGGTGCTAGGAGACCAGCCCCAACGTCTGCTCTAGTCAGCTTAGCTTTAAGTTATTCCCCTGACAGATGTTAGTAAGCCAGGTACTAGTGAGTAGTAGGGAAATGAAGATGGAGCATGCAGTTCCTTCCCTCAGGGAGTTCGCCGAGATGGATGTACAAATGAGGAAAGTGCTACCTGTAATAAAAATACATTCATGTCTTTTGGGGTCAGCTTTGCTAGGTAGGGCCTTGGGGAAGGCTAAGCTGAACCCGTTTCTCTATCTCCTTTAGTTAGAGAAAGTAAGATACATAGAAGTGCATGATAAAGTTTCCCACTCCTCATGAGTGCCCACCTTAAATACAATTATGTATTTAAACAAAAGTGAAATCATATTTATCTTGTTCTATAATTTCTTTTTTGTACTCAGCCATATAATGTAGGCTCCTTCAGTGTCAGTGTATACAGATCGACCGTTTTTGTTTTAATAGCTCAATAGTAGCTATAATGCATTTTCCCATTTGTTAGATCTTCCAGTGGTCTCCAGTTTTTGTACTTTTTGCTGTTAAAAATAAGGCAGCAGTGAACTCCCATATGTGTGTAACTACATGTTTCCCCAAGGATTTCCATAAAACTGAATTGAGAGATCAAAGAATATGTAAGTTGTGAATTTTGGTAAGCACTTATCACTCCTAATTTGTAGCCAAATATTGAAGGATGTGAATTAGGTGGACAAGGCAAAGAAAAAGGCAGTGTATGAGGAGTAGTGTGTATAAATCCTCACCCAGGACTATCTGGGGCATTCAAGGCAGGGACCTTCCCAGGCAAAACCATCTGAAAGGGCAGCCTTCGAAGTATGTGACCTCATGAACCTTATAAGCACAAATATCAGGCAGTCCTGGAAGACCACACCAAGACCTGGTAAGCCATTCATGCTGACATGTTAAAACCCTAACCCTAACGATGACTAATCTGTCCAGAACTTGGACACATGTGTTAGTTAAAATCTGTATGTGTGTGTTATAGTACAAATAATTAACATCTCATTTGTTAATTGCCAAGAAGGTAACATTTTTGGATTCTAAAGTCCTTTGTTCCCAGAGTTATATTTCAGATTACTTTACTGTGTTTAGGTGTGGCTCAGTAAGAGATCTACTTACGTAAAAGGAAGTTGTTTAAAAGAAAAATGTGTCTTCTGTCATTGTTGAGTAGAAACAGTAGACCTTGTACTTCAAGTTTCCAAAGAATATAAATAGACCATCGCTGTTTGAGGGGATAGGATCTAACTTTTCATTTGATGGCATTATTTTTAAATGAACCAGTGTTATACTGCAGCTTGACAGTTACAAATAAAGGTCTTCCACCTCTCTTCTAAGCTTCAGATCACCGACATAGTTCAATTACTTTAGTGATTTCTTGTACCACTGGCATTATTTTAAAAATGCGGGCAACATTAGTTTCTGTTATTTTTCTGGTAGTATGACAAAACGTGGATTGTAGAAAATAATTGGTCAGAACTTTATAATTCACAGAGGCTGCTAGGCCACATAACGACATAGTCCTACTTAACTACCCTAAAAATTTCTAAATTTGTTTCTCTGTGGTTCAGAAACAATATTCAATGTCCCTATTTCTCATTTTCGTTTTTGAATAGCCAAACTACAGAGGGAGCCTTCTTTGGTGAATGAATCACTGAATGTAAGTCGCTGTAATGGTTTGGATTTTGTTATTGTTGTTGGGGTTGTTTTGGTTTGGTGTTTTGAGAGCACTTGGTCGGGGGACAGTTTGGGGGAGCTGTCTCTTCATTTCTTTGGGTGACAGGAGACAATTTGTAGCACGTTGTCCACTCGAGTTCAACATATGGACCAGAGCTTTTACTTGTTCTTTTCCACGTTCAACTATACCCACTGATGTCTTGAAATTTAGTTGTTTGCCTCAGAAAAAAAGTATCACTCTGAATTCGTCAGCACTGTATTCTAGTGGCTCTTTAGGCCAATGTCATGAAACAGAACTAAGGAAATAGGTGAACTCCCAGGTCCTTCAGACTAGGAACCTTAACCTGGTTATGCTAATGAAATTCTTCAAAGAACTATGAACTTTCTATTTTTATTACTATAATGCGATTGCAAGTTGGATTGTGATGTCTTAACTTATTGTGATGCTTTAAACAAAACATTTTATTTTGAAAAAAAGTTCACTTTATGTTTTTGGAAAGCTTTTCTGAAGATACTAAACTATAACTGCCATATATACATATTTTTTCCACATGTGGCTCTCATAATCCCTTTTGTACTTGAAAGAATTTTTTTTTTGTATTTCTGAGTGCATTTATAGGGGACCTAATATCATACCGAAGTGAGCGTTTTGTAAAATACTTGCAAATTTCAGGCAGCCACATTCTTTCCAGGATTCAAAAGAGCTTTGCTTACTACCAGCAACTAGCATCAGAGGGCTTCCCTCACCCTGTTGAAACATCCGTTTTGTAGCTAAAAACTCAGTCTGATGTAAGACGGAAGAGAAAAGCCCACTTAGTTTGGTTCAGCTTCACCCTCCAGAAGTTAAAAGGATTCTAAAAGTGACTGAAACCTCCGGTGCCAGCCAAGGTGATTGTGAGGTCCCCAGCATGTGCTTCATCCTGCCTTGTTTCCCCAAATCCCCAGCAACTGCCTTTTCTCCATCTGAGCATACCATCCTTTCCAAATATGCATGAAATTCTGGATCTGGAATTTAGAACGTTGTAGAATATTCTGAGACTTCCCTCAGTAAAAAAAACATACAACTGACAAGATTTGCCAAAGGGAAATCTTATGACCTAATGACAGAATCCTTCAGCATTTTTAAGTAAAGAAACAAGAAAATCATGAGGGATTGTTGAATGGAAAGAGAATTTACAGAAAATTCTTCTCTCATTTCTTGCTCTTTTGCCATAACCGTGTTAAAGACAAGGAGAACAAACACAGTGGGATGATAATCTGTTAAACCGAAACTTCTTCAAAAGGAAGATACTCTATGCACTTGAGCTTCCGGGTGAAATTAAAAAGAACATGTATTGCAGTTCCTTTTAGCATTCTCACAAATAACCAGGTTATGTAAATTACCTTCTTTTTTTTTTCTGCCTTCAAGACTTTTGTTTGACTATCCATAAATAACCTCTTCTGTTGTGTGTTTAGGTCGAAAATTCAGGCTCAAGAACAAATGAAGAAATTCATAGCAAACCTCATAACAAAGAAGGTAAGTTAATGAATTTCATACTAGTAATTTTAATATTTATTACAATTACATTTGTTGTATACCTTCTATGTGCCAGGCCCTATGCTAATTAGTTTGCAGATTTTTTGCTCATTTAATTCATATAATCCAGTCAGGTGAATAACAGCATCACATCTGTAGTTTAGGAACTGAGGCTTAGAGAGGTCCAGTGGCTTGTTCAAGGCCATGCAGCTTGTAAGCAGTGCTTCACCTTAAATAGCTACCAGAACTTTACCAATAAACTAATAATAGACCAATCCAATGTGAATACAAAATTTATAGTCCCCTGTGGCTTGTGCCATAGGAGAAGTGCTGTGCTAAGTACTTAACTCTGTTAACTTCTGACAGGCAGTCACAAATTGGTAGCAGATCACAGATGTCACATTTATGTGGGTCTTCTTCTAGAGGTCAGATCTTATTCCATGCAACCTGTGGAGGCTGCCACCTCCAGAGGGACGATTCTCTTCTCAAACAGAACATAGAATTTTGTTAGTTTCTATTGATTTCGTTGATTCCCTATTCCAAGAATGGAGAAAGAGGTCTTAATCCTCTATACGGTTATTTCTATAATGTGTCATTCCGTGTTTCAAACCAAAGTAACGCAGCAGTAATTATAAACACCCATGTACCCATCACCTAGTTTTGTCATATCTTAAAATATAGTGTATTTGCTTCATACGCTTTTTTAAAAATGTTACAGATATCGGTAAATCCACATTATACTCCTCCTCACTCCCATTCTCTTTCCCTTTTATCCCACTCCAAAGGGAACCACTCTTCTGCATTTGCTATGTATATGAATGTGTCCATAAACAATATGTAGTACTATGTTGCATGCTTTAGGAAAAGGGTATCACATAGAACTGTCTCCACCTTATTTGTGCATTCAGCATTATGTTCTGAAATTTGTCATGTTGATGTATATAAGTCGTTACTTTATTTCAATTGCTATTTATATTTTTATATTCCATTGTATGACTATATATCAGTTACTTTCCTTGCTTCTTTTGTTGGTGGACATTGAGGGTTTTTGCAAATTTTTCCAATTATGAAGATTGCTACCATGCATGATCTGGTACCTATTTCCCAGTGCATATGTAGTATACCTGGAACTGTAGGTGTGGAATTGCTAGGTAGATAGCTACCTCTTCAGCTTTACCAAATGTGCCATATTGTCCCCAAGTGGCCTACCAATCATCACTCCATGCCTTCTCCTATTATTTGATATTGTTGGACTTGTGATATTGAATGTTTGCTAACCTTGTGACCGTGAAACGACATTTGCTTGTTTTTCTTGGACACTTCTTCACACTGTGCTGCTAGACAAGCTGAGGGAAATTGTTTTGAAGTCTGCTGTGTAACGTCTGGTGATCCTCTTCCCTCCCGAATCCCATTTACTCACATCTAGAAATGGAAATCATGGAACTTACCTGACATAGTTGTGAGGATCCTGTCACAATCAGTAGTGACGTATTCTTCCCTCTTCCTTCTCCCTGCCACACATACCCATAAAATAAGTATTGGAATGAATGCATACTTAAAGGTTTTTTTTTGTATTTATTTCTCAGAGATATCCAGTGGTAGAAAAGATAGCACAGAAGTCGTAAGGGGTCATAGTGTTGAAGCAAATCCTAAAGAGGTGGGTTTTCATGAGAAACTCCTCACGTATTTCATGTTTTATACATAGTGTTTTCACCTGTGTGCAAAGGCTTTACTTCTTTGTATGTATTAAAAATTAAATGGATGTATTAAGAGTTCTCCATATTACTTTTATCTATTTGTGTTCTTATAATGTTTAGGAAGTTTGGCAGGTCCCAGGATTATTTGTACGTATCCTTGTACAGTCAAGAATGTTTCATATACTGCCTTTCATCAACCCTTTAATGGGCCACTAAGAAAGGAGAAAAACACTCCAATTAATTTATGACATGCCATCGATTATAAGACTTAGCTTGACTTCAGAGATGGTAAAATGACAAATATTTTTTTAATATATTTTCAAATTGTTGAAGTACAGTATGTAACCAGAAACAGATTTGGATATTTTGTAAGGATTTATATTCAAATCCCAAAAAAAAGGACCCAAGCTTACAAAATGAGTCTAATCAAAATCTAGATGCCAAAAGTATTATTCTATATTTTTTTCTAATTTAGATAAAAACTTATCCCAAAGACTAGAAGCTATGTGCCCCCATTTCAGTAGATTTTGATCCAAATTCTATTGCTTTTAATATAGCCATTCTTAATTCCAGGTTGAAGAGGAAGAAAGGCATATGCCTAAAAGAAAAAGAAAGAAGCATTACCCCTCTTCAGAAGATGAACTGGGTATTTAGAATATATGTGTTCCTGTTTTAGACATCTTTGAAAATCGTATTATTTTCATATCCAATATGGGCCAATAACGTAGAAAATTCTTGGGGGTAGTATTTGTTTCCTGTACAACTCTTGAGTCTAGTTTGTTTCTGGACTCACTTAACACCTTCCGGGTCTTTTCTGGACTTGATCTAGAAACTAGATTGCTCTCTGTGGAAGACCCAACCCTGGAACTCACACAAAGCCAGGTTCCCTCTGTAGCCTGGGCCTGGCACCTAGCCAGGTGCCTCCCAGTTCCTTATTTTATATCATGAACAGATGCCCTGCAGAGCTGGCGAAGCACGGCAGTAAAGGTGCGTGTATTAGCCCTTCTGTGCTTCATAGTGTGATTCTCTCATGGTCTAGGACAGTTGCCATCCAATAGAACTTGCTGCAGTGATGAAAATGTTTTGTCTAGTACAGTAGCAACTAGCCATGCCTGACTATTGAGCACTTGAATGTGGTCAGTGTGAATAAAAGATTGAATTTTTAACTGTATTCCATTTTAATTAATTTAAATTTCAATAGCCACATGTGGCTGGTGGCTACTATATTGGACAGTGCAGAGACTTTTATACTTTACTGCCTGGCACAAAGTACAGATCTAATAAATATTTATTAAATAATATTTGAGAAAGAATGGATAGCTAAATGCTTTCCTTTTATGCTTAGGAACGTGATTATTTTGTAATTATTGACTTCATACTCTAGGTACCATCCATGGTACTTTGTACATATTTACAATAGTTATGCGTGTTAGGTATTATCGCCATTTTATGAATAAAGAAATTAGGATTCCAAGAGATTGTGGGTTTATCTCCACCACATAAATCTGATTCCCAAGCCCTTGGTCTTCATCATTAAGCTATACCTCTTAGGTGGTAACCTGTTCAGGAACTTAAAAGTGTCTCTGGGAACTCTGTATGCACTGAGCCTGTTCCATGGAACCTGCTGCTTTGTTAGTGGCATTGTGGCATTTGTGGATTCTTTATTTTATTTTCTATTTTTTGGCTTTGCCAGGGCCAAAGCCCATGTTCAGTGCTCAAATCACATGACATTATAAATATATTTAGAATAACTTTGGCTTCGCTGTATGACAAGCCTAAGAGAGAAGGCTTAAACTGTCTTAAAATAGAACTATGCATTTCATTTTTCGTTGAGCTTTTATTCCTTTGTGATTCTGTCCAAACTGATTTACAGATGATAATCCAGATGTCCTGGATTCCAAAATAGAAACAGCACAGAGGCAGTGTTCTGAAACTGAACTACAAGATGCAAAGGTAGTTTTTCCACATATTAATATTAAGTTGTAGGGGAAACCTAATGACATCACTGTGAATACTTATTTTTTTTTGTTCTATTATCCCTTTTACTTTAGGTATCTCTGATAATAATCACTTTATTATAAAAGGTGTATTTTTTTTAGGCTTTCTCAAAAAAAATAAATGTTGAACTTTATAGTCTTAAACTACAAGATTGTATTAATAGCACAGTTTAGATATGATCATTGCTTTGGTTTTTGTTCACTCATATTATTGACTTCTTTAGGTTTCTAGGTGCTTTCTTCCAGAGTGTAATATGCTTTATTACAGATATACTTGCACCAAAACAGTGCAATATAGTGATAGATATTATTTTAAAATTTTAGTATTCTGCTATATCTCTGCCTTACCTCCTGCCCTTAAAATATAGGTAGTCCAAGGATGGACATCACTCATTGTTTTTTTTTCCTATGGTCTTGTTTTCATCTTATGACTCAGGGAAGCAGCTCAAAAATTTTATTTCAGCCCCTACCTCTCTTTTGTTCTAGGCCCAGATTTCTCCATTTCCTGGTAGATAACTCTTCTTGGGTGTTCTTCCACTTCTGAGACTCAGTACTTCTCGTTGTTCGAAACCAGCTCCATCTCCTCATTCTCTCTCTTTCCCTAATTTATTTTTTTCGACCTTGTTCCAAAAATATTTAAATCAGTTTATAAAAGTATATGCAGCTGACTTCCAGCTCACTAAAACCAGTTCAAAGTCTCTTTGTTTCCCCAATGAGTGATGAACTAAATAAAAAGTAGTAAAAGAATTTTAACAAGCAAAGAGAGAAAGTCACATATTGTCATGAATTTCAGTTGGTCATGACCAAGGAAAGAAATAGGCTTTTAAGCCCCTCCCTCCCCCTGCTCTATCCAGAACAAGAATCCTGAGACAGTATTCCTAAATTTGGAGAGAAGCAGATTGAAGGGTATCTTTAATGTTAAATTTAAGTAAACTCTAACTTAACCATTTTCATTTAAAAATCACTTATACAGACTTTCAATATTATAAAACAGTAGTTTTAAGTTTGATTTGTATATTTCTGTTTATATATTATGTTAGTATTATAGCATAAACATTTTGGTACTTCATCACAACTTTCTTGCATCTAAGGATGAATCCTGTAACCACTGAGAGATCATTGCTGTAAATCAGCCCAGCTGGATACCCAGAATTCTCCCTGATGCCTTCAGCTCTGTCCCTTCCCCCTAATCCCTCCCCTCCTCCACCCCACAAAGAAAATCTGTTGTAAATTTCTATCCATTCTTTCTTTGGAGTTTCTTTCAAAAAGATAAAGTCCAGGATGAGGGAGGAGAAGGGTGATTTCCCTTTGGCAGTGAAGAAAATAATGGCTTCATTGCTTTTATAGTTGAACCTTATCTCATGCTTTTCTGCCTTCAGAAAAGGCAGAATCTTGTTGTATAGTCTCACTAGCAGCAAAAATAGTTACTTTTTAAAATGTTTCCAACAAACTTCTTAAAGATCACTAGGAAATTTTTTTGAAATAGAAGGGAAAACGTTGAGGAGGATAAATGGAGGCAGGGTTAAGTTTGAGAAAGAAGTTTCTTGACTTGTTCAACTTCTCTTTAGGAAGAGAACTCTGGGGATTTGGAAGAATTATCTAAACCAACTTCTAAGACAAACAGCACTGCTTCAAGGTGCATGGAAGAAAAAGGTAAGTAATACTTCTACTTAGGTGAATTGTTTTGAGAGGAGACTAGTCCTTCAAAGCAGTCAGCATCTCTCACCAGGCCTTGCCCGCTGAAACTGCAGTCTGCTCGTTTGCCTCCCTTTATAACACCGTATACTCTCGCTTAATAGTAATAGAACTTGGGAGTCACTTTTACTTTGAATCCTATTCTACCCAAAGTATGCCTCTTATCAATTAACCAGACTCCAGCTTACTGACTTGGTTGGCATGGGCCTGAGAATGGAGCGTGTGTGCGTGTGTGACTGGGACTGCGTGGGTCACCTTGGTAGATGTCGTGATGATGAGGCAGTGAACTGAGCTCTGCCACTTCTGCAGATGAATATAGCAGCAGTGAAGCTGCTGGTGAAAAGACGGAGCAGAATGACGATGACAACATAAAATCTCAGGAGGTAAGGAATGTTTTTCAGATTGTATTCAGATTTATTTAAGTACTAAGAACAAATAAAATGCATTAAATACTGTTACCTACAGTTTTCTTAAGTATTTTTGAAGTAGTTATTTTTTTTAAATGCAGTGGGGCACCATTTCATACAGTGCATTTTATCAGTGTCATTTTGATTAATTTTCTTCTCATCATCATTGTTTTATCCAAACATTTGTATGAAACCTACTTCTGTCATGGCCATATAGGATCAGCCCAGAATTGTCCCTCCATGTCCAGGTCAGGTTCCAGATGTGACAGCTTAGCCTGCCCCAGCCAGGCACCAGTCTAGGTCAGAGACTGGGGCTGCTGAGCCCTGGAGTCTGGACAGGACGGGATGGGAGCAGCAGCAGCAGGGTGTACAGAACCTGCAGCGAGCGCCACGTGGGACCTGGTTTGATGAGGCAAAGCCAGGGATTCCTGGGAGGCTGCAGAAGCAGGCAGACCTCCAGCCCTGCCCGCTCCAGGCCCATTTGGATTTACAGAGAGCCCAGTGGGGCACAGAATGGCAGTGGCCTGAGACAGAGGCCCATTAATCAAGGGAAACAGCCAGTACACCAGCCAGATCTTCTAGATAACTGTTGCCAAGTTGGCCAGTCTTGATACAACTTTTTTTTTTTTTTTTTTAAAGATTTTATTTTTTCCTTTTTCTCCCCAAAGCCCCCCGGTACATAGTTGTGTATTCTTCGTTGTGGGTTCCTCCAGCCGTGGCATGTGGGACGCTGCCCCAGCGTGGTCCGATGAGCAGTGCCATGTCCGCGCCCAGGACTCGAACCAACGAAACACTGGGCCGCCTGCAGCGGAGCGCGCGAACCCAACCACTCGGCCATGGGGCCAGCCCCATTGATACAACTTTTTAATAGTTCTTTTTCTTTTCTCAAACTTCTATATGAGAAATTCAGTGACCTGCCTTTTTTTTTATAAGGGATAATGTTTCATCACAAGTGACTTGGACTAAACCCAAATTTAAATGGACACACATATTTATTACAGAAGTAAAAGCTAACACTAAGCATTCATTTCTGTTACCTCATTATTTCATAATCCTCACGACTCCATGAATTCATACTACAATTATTAATATTTATCAGGTAGGAGAACTGCCCTGAGAGAAATGAAACACTAAGCCCAAAGTCATGTATTTTTCTAAGGGACAAAGCTGGGATTTGAGACCTCTTAGGAGGGAACTCTAAATCTCATTTTTAGAAAAGGAACTATTTATATTATAGAGGATAAAATTATTTTTTACTGCTTTTTTCCCCCCCTTTTCCCCTTAGGAAGATCAGCCAGTAATTATTAAAAGGAAAAGAGGACGACCTCGTAAATACCCTGTAGAAACAGCATTAAAAACAAGTAGGTATTTGGTATGTTTTCAGTTCACGCTCAAGAAATTTTCAAGCTGATTTTCTAAGTGAGCTTTATTTTTGCATTTTTTAGAAGAAGACTGCAAAACAGATACTGGCATTGTCACTGTAAGTAATTGCAAAAGATGAGAACTCTTCAGATATTTGCTCTTGACCTGGAAAGGGTATACTGCAATATCTAGTATTTTGAACTACTTTATTTTTTAAAGGCATTTGAAAAGCTTTAAAAGACTTTCTTAAAGAAAACATTGAATAACCATTTAAATAATATCTTGATTATTAATATCTTCATATAAACATAATTATATAAGTTGCTCTTCAGTCTGATCCCATCCTTACTTGTGAGCTTGGTTATATAAAAATTATCTAGGGACTTATCTTCCTGTAGTCATCCTTGATTAAAATGTAGAAATTAACTGTTTTATATGAATTTTAGATCGTGGTTTCTTTATGGAAATCTCCAGCACGTCTCACCATCTTACTAATTTCTATGGAATTCCTTTTGTAATAAAATGTACACTGATTTCAAGGCAGGAAAATCCTCCTTGATACTTTATCTTTGACCCTCAAGTATATGCCCAATGAAATCTTTGTATCAAGATTTCATTGCATAAGTTTCAATGACAGCATTATTAGGAGGACAAACATATGTCCACTGACCTAACAAAAGCAAATGAGATTCATGCCTCAGCTCTGCCACTTACTCCCAGATCTCTGGCACTCAGCCAATCCTGTGACCCTCTCGAGACTCAGTTTCCTTGGATATAAAGTAGTATGACAATGCCTTCAGTACTTATTTCGTAGAATTATTATAACACAACAAAACCGAAGAGCCACATGTGAATGCAATTACCAACGTGGAAGATGGTTTGCCGGGGTTGGGGAATATTTCCAGGGGGCCATGCCATGTCCCTCCGGTGCTTGTTAGCCAGTGTAGCAGCAGGTGGCCGGGGAGGGTTAAAACCCCAATTCTCCTTAGGGAAAGACTGTGTGTTGGGAAACATGGGCATCCATATTTACCTGATATACTTAATCACCTGCAGAAAATAGGTTCCTAATACTCTGCCTAAATAATAGAGGTCCTAAGCCTTCTTTACATTATTGATCGACTTTCTGTGTGGTGATGATAAATTTTTGACTTTGTTTAAATTTAGGTGGACCAATCTCCACCTGGCGGCAAACTGAAAGTAATGCAAACAGGTATGTACCTAGACCATAGCTCTGTCATGATCTAAGGAAGGGGCAGGGGAGACTGACTATCGGGGAAACTTTTAGAGTTTCATTTTTTCTCAGTAAGTGGGTAGCCTCCTTGCTAAAAACAGTTGTCCTTATAGCTACAAGAGACTATGCTACTAGGTTTTCCTGTAATCTGAGCCATTCTTGCTTTTAAAGTCTGAGAAGCTTCAGAGAAGAGGGTGTAGGCAAGCAAAAGCAAAATAGGGAAGGCCCTGGCTGTCCAAACCATAATTTCCTGGCTACGTTTAAGGAAGAAATAGATCAGCCTGGGGACTGGGCACTCTTATCAGCAAGACAGGAATTCAACTCAAGAGCCCATTGTTCTCAGAAGAAGAAGAATTTTGAAGGCAGCCTGTGTAGCAGCTTACAGAGCCAGGATGCAAGAGATAAAATTGTTTCAAGTATTTTTGTCCTCTTGCCAAGGAGAAAGAAATATTCCAAAATGTTGATAATGATTAGCTCTGGGTGGTGGGATGATGAGAACATTCCATGTTATTTATTACTATTACCTGTATTTTCCAGAATTTTTACAATGTGTATATGTTCATTTCATATAAAATTTAAAATTTTTTACCTAAGAGCAAGAAGAGCGATTCACGGGTTTTAAAGGGTTGACACAGGCAAAAAAGATGAATGTGAGAGTTATTTTGGATCAAATAAATAGTATGGTCAGATCAGCAAAGTCCGTATTCTGATCAGCAAGGTAAAGCAAATATGTAATTTAAATTTTTTCCCACATTTAACTATACACAATCTTGTGATCATACTTGAGTTTTTTCCTTGTCTGTTGAAAAATTAAGGTTTGTTTATTTTTTTTAAAAGGGGAGGAAATTCTGCTTATGTTTGATTTTTAACCAGTTTTTACTCATAATTTTATAGTATTTTAAATCCAAACTTGAATGCCCTTTAAAGACTCTAATTTAAGCTATGTGATTTTGTTTGAGGGTTATTGTTTGGCAGTAGTTTTCTGAATCTGGGTAATGATGACCAGTTTAAGACAGGACTCTTTGTCGGCCTTTTTCTTGGAAGTTTAACCCTTCCATCTCCATGAGTATATTAAACTTGCAGAAAAAGGCAACTAGACACTCTTCATCACTAATAAGAGGTACCTTTGGGTTGTTGAGTGTCTAACAAGCATCCCATAATTTTAGCTTCAAATAGTGCATTGAACCAAACTTCATTTTTCTTACCAAGATACATTCTCAGAAAATTGTAACATTTGCAGAAAGCAGATACATAAAGAATAGTCACACACAACCTAACACAGGCTTATAATATGTACTTTTTTAATTGTCATGATGTAAGTATTTGGGGTTAAAAGAATTCCAGCTATCACCCTACTTGTTAGTTAGTGACTCTGAACAAATTACTTAAGTTACTCAAGCCTCGTTTTTCCTAACTATAAAATGAAGTTGTAATATTTATAGAGCTACATTGAGATTTCAATAAAGTCTGTAATCCTGGTGCATTTTGGGGGGCTCCCTAGGTGTCCCCTTTTTCTTCCCTTTCTGGGTTCGGGGCACTTGAGCTGAAAAGGACCATAAAGGTGGTCTAACCCAACTCCTTACAGATGAAGAAACTGAGGTTCAGGAAATTTAAGTAATTTGCCCAGATCACTTGGCTTATTAGCGACGAATCCGAAATGCAAACTTGAGTGTCCTGACTTGCACTCTGATGTGCTCTCTGCTAGGTATTCCAGCTCAAACTTTGCTCAGCTGATAGAAAATAATGATAAATTGTATAACAATTAATTACCACTGGTACAGTCATAGATAATAAGCCAGACTGTTGAAATTTAATTTTATACTAATAAAGCATTAATGCAGAGATTTCCCTTTTCTTAAAGATGAGTCCAATAAAGAAACACCTAACCTACAGGAAAGAAGTATAAGCAATGTAAGTGTTAATTTTCTTAACAGGATATGTCCTTTAGAAATAAACTTATCAAGTTGCTTGATTGACTGCCCTTTCAACTTTAATTTGATTGTTTCTAGGATGATGGTGAAGAAAAAACAATAGCAAGTGTGCGTCGGAGAGGAAGGAAGCCCAAGCGTTCGCTCACTTTATCAGATGAGGCTGGTATGTGCCTAGCAGATTCTTAACTGCAGAGTCTTATTGCAAAATCACCTTTTTAAGAGTTTTCCTTTGAATGAGGAAAAATGGGGTGGAGCTAGTATTAATATTACATAAATACGTGTGAAATGGCTCTAATCCCATGTCAGAAGTGGTACATCCCAGATGCTTTTCTGAGTACATGTGAGTTTTTCATGAATGCTGGCTGTGAACTGCCTAAGTAAACTATCCCAAATGTGTTTGAGATTAAGTTAAACAGTTGTGAGTTGCAAGTGCTGAAATAAAAAGGAAGTGGAAAACCACTTCTTCTGCCTCCAAATCCCTAATATCCTATGTTCTAAACTCCATGACTGTCCTTTGGAAGTGTCTTTGGGAATTGTACAATCCAGGTGTTACCCTGCTGTTTGAACAGAATCCTCAGAACCAGAAAGAAAACGCCAGAAGTCAGTTTCTGAAGCAACTGAGGACAAGAAAGACCAGGAGTCTGATGAGGAAGAGGAAGAGGAGGAAGAGGATGAGCCCTTGGGAGCCACCACAAGGTCCAGCACTAGATCCGAGGCTCAGAGGTAACGGGGGGCAGAGAGCTTCCGAAGCCCTTCCCCAGCTTCTCCATCAGGAAACAGCTTCGGTTTCTCAGGATTCTCTTTTCTTTGACTCACTCCCGCCGCAGTGTCAGCCGTCCCCTTTCATTTTATCTTCAGAGAGCACATGCTCTCAGCCCTCTCACATTTTGGTTCTTCTTGGAGAACCCATTTCCCTTCTTAAACCATTTTTGAGGATCACTTCAGAATCTTTGCCAGGTTTTAGATACCTGTTTGATGGAACCCATTCAATTCTTTTACAAATATGTAGTCAGCGTCAGTAGATGTCTCAGATACTGCGCTGAGCACCATGGGTGAAAACAGAAATGCATGTAACACAGTCCCTACATGCAGCATGCTCAGCTCCAGTGAGAGACAGAAAGCAGGCATACCCATCACTGTTGTCAGATGCATCTAACCAGTGCTGTGTCATAGATTGATCACATGAAATTGCCCATATGTGACCATTTTTTACTTACATAACTGATAATTTCATGTTTCCCAAAGTATGTTCTCCTAAACCCTAGTATAGCAAGAAGTCTCTGGAAAAAAAGAGTACCATGGTCAAATGAGTTCTGGGAACACCAGTGAATTCTCTCCTCATCTTTGTAAGTCACAGTGTACGTTAAAATATTAAGAACTTAGCATTGTCCTAAAGGAAAGAAATACGTTTAACTTTGTCTAAACAAACATTATTTGCTGATTTTACTCCCCCACCCTCTCACCTATGTCTTTATGCCTGTTAATATCATCAGTATTTCCCACAACACATTTTAAGAAATGTTGCCTTACTGTACAGTTTAATAACTTTTTCTAAAGCAAGAATATTTTCCGTTTTTAATGTGATTCACAAGCTGTTAATCTTGATATCATTTCTATAATTTCATTACCCAAGATTAATCAAAAAGTTCAGGAACATTTATTTCAAATGTATCGCTTACTAACACCTTGTACTGTAGTATAATAGTAATAGTGTCTTGTGTTTATATAAAGACTTAAATCAGCCTGTTTCTGATTCCTTCAAACTTGTGCGTTACTAGCCATTTGCACCATGGTTTGATTTCTCAAAGAAACAGAGTTTAGAGCCAAAAGACTTAGGAGGTCACATAGCTAAAGGTAAGGTGGTGGTCTCATGTTTGTTTTTTACATGGGGCAGCTCAGATAAATAGAAGTCACAGAATCAAGATTCCTGCTGAGAGGAGAGAGTGAGGGTGCTGGAGCTCAGCACCCCTGCATTCGGGTACAGAACACCCGCCCAGCACCACCGCCTCCCTCTTAGACAGTCATTGGAAAGATCATCCGCTACAGTAGGGCCCACCTCAGAGAAAGCTCCATAGGCCTTCTGGCCATCTTCGAGTGAGTGTCTGGAAGTAGCTATCAGATTTGCCTTTTTTTATTTTTATTTTTCAAAGATTTTATTTTTTTCCTTTTTCTCCCCAAAGTCCCCCAGTACATAGTTGTATATTTGTTGTGGGTCCTTCTAGTTGTGGCATGTGGGACGCCGCCTCAGCGTGGCTTGACGAGCAGTTCCATGTCCGCGCCCAGGATTCGAACCAATGAAACACTGGGCCTCCTGCAGCGGAGCGCACGAACTTAACCACTCGGCCACGGGGCCAGCCCCGTATCAGATTTGCCTTTTAAAATTCATTCTTCAAAAATAAATCTTATTTGGCTCATAGTTCTATAATCACCTGGATTATCAATACTCTTCCTTAATGTACTTTAGGAATTTTGGATTGACAAATAGATTCTTTTCTCTTTGGTTTCGATTCCTTGGCATTCGTTAATTGGTTCCAGGGCTCTGGCATCTTCGTAATTTCACAGGTTCTCAGGGTTGGATGGGGTCTCCGTGGGTTGGTACCGCTGACCCATCAGTGTTTCAGTCGCTGCACCAGCGGCTCCTCTGAAATGATCTTTCTGCTTTTGCACCTGCACCAGTGGCAGGGAAAGCCACCTCCCGGCATTCTCTTCCTTGTGTTTGGTAGAAGCTGGCTTCCCTGTAGTTTCTGCTCATGGTTCTAGTTCTACTCCTGGGGCCTCTATACAACTTTCTCTTAAACATTCGAGGGCAGCTTCCAGGTCTTCTCTTCTTATGTTGAGCGCCCTCATCATCCGTGTTTTTTCTCCTGAGTTTATCTGTCTCCTCTTTAAGAAGCAAATCTTCTATACCTAATGTGGGTAATGAATCCAGAAGAGGACTGTCCTGCCTCATATCCTAGACACTGTGCTTCAGCGAGGCCTTCTTCTTAGTGTTCTTGCTGGTGAGTCAGAGCTTCCCTCACCTGATGCTTGTGCACTTGACTCTTGGACCCAGTTATAAAGCTTTAACATTTAGCTCTGTGAATTATACTTTCATGAGTCTTGGCCGCTTGTTCTCCTTTGGTGAGCTCTCTTGAGGTCTTTATCTCGTCAGCCAATATGGTTTCTGTTCATCACAGATTCATCTTTCCCCAAAGCATGATAAAATCTCCCGCACCTTAAAAGCAAAGCTAGAGTCACGCAAAGAGTTAGTTGTGGATGACGTCAAGATCGACTTCTTAGCAGAGGGCCAGAGAACCAACCTGCTTTTCCTGCTTTTGGCTGCCATTCTCTGATTCGCCCATGAGCAGCCTCGTGCTTTCTGAAGAGTCCCAGGGACTAGAGTGTTCAGTGCTACCACTGCCCAGTGTTTTATAATCTGTTTCAGAAAGCATCATAGCGAGCCACCTGCACGTGCAACATCCAAACCTGGCAACCCAGAAACGGTTTCTCCTAGAAATCGCCAAAAATTAGCAAAAGAGAAGTTATCTACCAGCGAGAAAGTTAGTAAATCTCCCCCATTAGGAAGGTAAGTCCCTACTTACGCTTCAAATCATTTTTAACCCCCTGAGACTATTTTTGGTACAGTAACGCTTTCTGCCCAAGTTCCTTTCAGATTTTTGTCCTGCCAAATAACTGTCTTTGGGGATCATTGGTTTCCCAAATGGAAACCTACCCCAAAAGGAATAGGAAAGGCTGCAAAAGGAGTCTCAGTGGCCTTGCCTGTCTGGCCTCACCTCATGACCCTCCGCACACCTGTGAGCCTGACATGCTGACTCCTGTCCACCAGGACAGAAGGCGAGGCATGTTTCTTCTTGAGTATCGTAGGTCTGAATGCTTGGTTCAGTCAGCACAGCACTGTCAAGCTTGTAACCGCCCAGAATTGTCTGTTTTAGCCAGAGCGTGGAGAGGCGATGAGGTAACGGAGTAGACACGCCCTTCAGGCGCAGCCTCTCGCCGCAACACTCAGCCCGTCACACAGCCTGGTTCATCCTGCTGCTCCCACAGGTGGTGCTGAGCACTGCTCCTTTGCCTCTGCTTGTGCTGGTTCTTTCTGGAGGCGTGCCCTCAGCACCAGCCCTGTGGTAAGCCAGGTCCTTCCGTCTGTGACACCCACCTTCTTCAGGACACCTCCCCGCCTGCTTCAGCCCATTCTCACCTTTCCTTCCTGTTGCACTTCCCGTCAGGCTGTGCAGTTGAGATTGGCATATGCCATTGCTTTAGGTCTATTAGTTTTTTTCCTCCCTCTGAGCTATAAGCTTCTTCCTTGAAATCAGGGACTCATCTTACTTTCTGTACATCATAGCATCAAAAAACAAAGTACTCTTCACAGTATACAGGAGCTGTTTTGACGTCGCATCACTTTTGATCTTCATAGCACACTGTCATGTATGTATGGATCATTGTCCCAGTATTATAGAAGGGGAACAAACTAAAGTGCATAGATTCGCCCACTTAATCCTCATTAAGTGAAATATTTATTTTTATTTTATATGTGAAAGGAAGAATCTCAGAAAGGTCTGATCCATATTTGTCAATATTGAGTGTGCAGACCAACGACTGGAGGCTCTTGTTAAGGTGCAGGCTCCGATTCAGCAGGTCTTGGATGGGGCCTGAGAGTCTGCATTTCCTGGGTGATGCCCATTCCTCTGGTCACAGACCATGCTCTGGGTGGAAAGAAAGGGCCTGGGTGACCTACCAAGCTCACAAGCTGGTAAGAAGCACTCTGACTCAAAGTTTCTGTTCTCTGCTATGTGGCATCTAGCACAGTGCTGGCACACACCAACTGTTCAGTGAACAGGCGTTCATTTACTGGCTGATGGCTTTCCCTGGACACAGTTTGAAATGAGTTATTAACAAACTCTGCTTTTTTAGCCATTCTCAACACGTACTTGGTAATATGCTGAAACTACATCATATACAACAATGTTTGATCAGTTTGAGTTTACTTACTTTTGCTGTCAAAGGAACAATAAGCACAATGTGTCTTCATATCAGTAAAGTCCCATTTCTCCATCTCCTGCAATTTAAGTTTTCCAAGTTTTTTCCTTCATCGATATAACATTTACTGCTTACTTACGTGTGTCAAGGCTTGTACCAGGCACTGGAGACAGGAAAAAGAATAAAACTCGCCAGCTGCCTTGGAGAAACAGCATCCTGTCTAATGGAGGAGATAGGAGTGTATGAGTTTCAGATTTTTTTGAGAGCAGCCCATGATAAGAATGTAGTTTGCATGTAACCAGTGCTCACATTCCTGCTGCTGTAACCGAAACAAAAGGTTCACGACCCAGACTTAATAGATGTGATGCCAGTGGTATTTTCTACTGTGTTTTATTAATATGTTGTTTTAAAATAATGACGGTAACCTACGGTTTGAAAAAACTCAGCAGATAAGTTACCATGGTAAGTGCTGTGGGATTTCCAGCTAGCAGTTTGCTGTGTGGCGGGGGAGGAAAGGCGTCCCAGAAGGAGTTGCTTTTGAACCGGGGCTTAAAAATGAGGTTTGTCTGATGGGGAGTGTGGAATGATTTCAAAAAAATCATGTGCCAAAGCATGAAAGTGTAAAAGAACATCATGTGTTTGGGAATGGCAGGACTGGAGTCCAGGATGGGGCGGAAGTCAAGGGCAAATTATAAAGGGTCTTGTATATTATGCTCAAATGACTTTATCCTGAAAGCATCAGAGAGCCAAGCAATAGAGATAGAAATATGTATATATAGATAGATAGATAGATATTAGTTAGAATGCTCTTCTAAAGTTCCTGTGCCTTTTCTAGCACGGCCAGCTCTCTTCCATACTATTGTGCTATGAAACATGATTGTGCACTTTCTCAGACTTAGGGTGCAATCCTACTGTGTTCTTGCCAGTTGTTTCAACTTGGACAATGTGTGGGGGCCTGGATGTTGATTATTTTACAGATAGAAGAGCTAGGGCCCAGAGAAGAAAGTTGATTTGATCAAGGTCAACACCTAGAGTCCAACAGAGCCAGAACCTGAGCACAGGCTTCCGAACTCCCCCTCCAGCCCCCTGTTTGTGTGTGAGGCTGTCAGCAAATAACCAATTAGCAGAGGCTCTTCTGGAGTCTCCTATATAAACGTTACTAGGGTTTTTTTGTTCTTGCCTTTCAAGTTCAAAAACCTCCCATTTTTTAAAGAACTCCCAAATTATTTGAAGCTCTCACCACTGCCTTGACTTTTGCTTACTACAGATCCAAGGCACAGCTCTCCCCTCCTACCAAGCGCAAGAGAGAAGTCAGCCCTCCTGGGGCGCGCACGCGAGGCCAGCAGAGAGTGGAGGAAGCCCCTGTGAAGAAGGCAAAGCGATAATCCTGAGAACCCTCACCGCAGCTGCTCCTGGCTTGTCGGGGACACAGTGGAGAGAAGGGGGACGAGCCTTAGGGGCCACAGGCTTTTTTTTTTAACCAGGGAAAGGACGTGCATGTGCTCTAAGTTCCTAGGTGCAAGCTTTTTCTTGTTATGTTTTAAACAGCTTTATAAACTATTGTTCATAGAAGATATTATGTACATTTATTTCAGATAAAGGAAAATAAGTTTACTTTGTATCTAAACTCAAAACAAAGTAGTTGTATATTTTAACATTTGAAATTGGGATTTCCCTATGCGACACATCACTAATGCAACCCTCCCAGCCCATCAGACACCAGGCTGCGTCCTGGTGATCTGTGTACAGTATATAAACATGTAAAAATAGGTTGTATTTTACTCTATGTATGATGCTAATCAATGAACACTTTATTTATTTTACAGAGAAAACTTATCTGTGAACTTTACTATATATCTGTTTATTTTATTTTATTATTTTTTTTAATAAAAAAAGGGTTTTAAATGCTATGCAGTCATTAGTAGAAATGTTTTAGGACTCTGCCTGCCCTGTAACTATCTGAATATGATCTGGCAGGAAATACAAAATCTTTTCGCATGTATCCAAGTAAAGTAGTTTAGCTCAAGAAAGGATCTCCATTGCTTTTCTGTTCACAGGTGTGACTGTTTTTTAAGAATGTACTTGTTTTTAGATTATACCCGCATCAGTGACTTTTCTACCATCCCCTCTGGCGTAGGAGGTCCCGGTTCAGGGAAAGTCACATCCTGACCCTTTACCTGCGGCAGCAGCCCCTCCACCCGTGTTTGTACCTCTCCTCTGTACTCCTCTGAGGCGTCTCCCCTGTTCTTTCCATGTCGTCTTTTCAGTGAAGACAAATGCATTGACATTAGGTCACTTCTATCTATCAAGCTTCAGGATTTTATGTTGTTTTATACACAATTATTTCAGGATAGAAACTGGCTTTACTGCCAGATTCTTTTTTAAACATGTTTTAACTCACATATGAGCAAACTGTCCAACTTAAGTTTTTCATAAGATTAAACTTTTCTTAAGATCAAATTTGTCTCTAGCAATGATGTGATGAGTTGCCAAATAATTGAGATTATTTTAAAATGTTTTGTTCATATTCTTGTTTTGTAATTAAAATTTACATTCAGTGTGTGTGAATTTTTTTTTTTGGACTTAATGTAAGGTGGATATTTCTGTCATTTTACATGGTTTCTTACTGAGATTTTATATATAAATTATAAAATGTTTCCCAAAACTTGAGTGGTAAGAATTTTTTTTTTTTGAACTTTAAAATTTCTCTCTGTGAAAACCATTTCTTCTCTTTAAATAATTGGTCTTAAATATACAGGCATACCTCGGGGATATTGCGGGTTTGGTTCCAGACCGCCAAAATAAAGCGAATGTCACAATAAAGCAAGTCACATGAATTTTTTGATTTTCCAGTGCATATGAAAGTTATGTTTACACTATAGTGTATTAAGTGTGCAATAGCATTATGTCTAAAAACAAATGTAGATACCTTAATTTAAAAATATTGCTAAAAATTGCTAACCGTCATCTTGCCTCAATGTTGATGGCTGCTGACTGATCAGGGTGGTGGTTGCTAAAGGTTGGGGTGGCTGTGTCAATTTCTTAAAATAAGACAACAGTGAAGTTTGCTGCATTGATTGACTCTTCCTTTCATGAACAATTTCTCCGTAGCATGCGATGCTCTTTGACAGCATTTTACCCACAGTAGAACTTCTTTCAAAATCGGAATCAATCCTCTGAAACCCTGCCACTGTTTTATCAACTAAGTTGGTGTAATATTCTAAATCCTGTGTTGTCATTTCAACAATCTTCACCAGGAGTAGATTCTATCTCAAGAAACCACTTTCTTTGCTCATCATTAGGAAGCAGCTCGTCATCCGTTAAAAGTTTTATCATGAGATAAATTCAATCAAATCTTCTGGCTCCCCTTCTAATTCTAGTTCTCTTGCTATTTCCACCACATCTGCAGTTACTTCCTCCACTGAAGTCTTGAACTCCTGAAAGTCATCCGTGAGGGTTGGAATCAACTTCTTCCAAACTCTTGTTAATGTTGATATTTTGACCTCTTCCCATGAATCATGAATGTTTTTAATGGCACCTAAAGTGGTGAATTCTTTCCAGTAGATTTTCTATTCACTTTGCCCAGATCCATTAGAGGAATCACTATCTCTGGCAGCTATAGACTTACAAAATGTATTTCTTAATAAGACTTGAAAGTCAAAATTACTCCTTGATGCGTGGGCTGCAGAATGGATGTTGTGTTAGCAGGCGTGAGAACATTCATCTTGTACATCTCCATCAGAGCTATTGGGTGACCCAGAGCATTGTCAGTGAGCAGTAATATTTTGAAAGGAATCTTTTTTTCTGAGTAATAGGTCTCAACAGTGGGCTTAAAATATTTAGTAAGCATGTTGTAAACAGATGTGCTGTCATCCAGGCTTTGTTGTTCCATTTATAAAGCGTAGGCAGAGTAGATTTAGCATAATTCTTAAGGACCCTAGGATTTTTGGAATGGTAAATGAGCATTTTTGCAGTCCCCAGCTGCATTTGCCTCTAATGAGAATCAGCCTATCCTTTGAAGCTTTGAAGCCAGGCAGTGACCTCTAGCTGTAAAAGTCCTAGATGTCATCTTCCAATATAAGACTGTCCCACCTACACTGAAAACTTGTTTATTGCAGCCACCTTCATTAACTATCTTAGCTAGATCTGGGTAACTTGCTGCAGCTTCTGCATCAGCACTTGCTGCTTCCCCTTACACTTTCATGTTATGGAGATGACTTCTTTCCTTAAACCTCATGAACCAACCTCTGCTAGCTTCAGACTTTCTTTTGCAGCTTCCTCACCTCTCTCAGCCTTCAGAGAATTGAGAAGAGTTAGGGCCTTGCTCTGGCTAAGGCTTTGGCTTAAGGGAATGTTGTGGCTGGTCTATCCAGACTACTAAAACTTTCTCTGTATCAGCCATAAGATTGTTTTGCTTTCTTACATTTGAGTGTTCACTGGAGTAGCACTTTTAATTTCTTTCAAGAATTTCTCCTTTGCATTCACAGTTTGGCTGTTAGGCACAAGATGCCTAGCTTTAACCTATCTTCACTTTTGAAATGCCTTACTAAGCTTAATCATTTCTAGCTTTTGATTTAAAAGAGAGACGTGTGACTTCCTTTCACTTGAATGCTTAGAGGCCATTGTAGGGTTATTAATTGGCCTAATTTCAATATTGTGTCTCGGCATATAGAGGCCTGAGGATTGGGAGAGAGACAGGAATGGCCAGTTGATGGAGCAGTCAGAGCACAACATTTATCAATTAAGTTCACCGTCTTATATGGGCATGGTTCATGGCACCCCAAAACAATTACAATAGGAACATCAAAGACCACTGATCACCATAACAAATATAACAATAATGAGAAAGTTTGAAATATTGAGAGAATTACCAAAATGTGATACACAGACATGAAGTGAGCAAATGCTGTTGGAACCATGGCACCTATAGACTTGCTCGACACAGGGTTGCCACAAACTTTCAATTTGTAAAAAACACAATATGTGGGAAGCACAATAAAGCGAAGTGCAATAATATGAGGTATGCCTGATATGTTCCATTTTCATATTCAAATTTGAGTCAGTGCTGGGCTCTCAGTAGAGTTGAACATTAGAGCTAGAAGGGACCTTGGAGATGAGAAATATGAGAGTTCCTCACTTTCATTTATAGATGAGTTTAACCAAGGCTTAAAAATCTAAAATGATCTGTCTTAAATGAGTCAAGGGTAAAAGCCAGACTAGGTTCCAAGGCTCCAAATTCTTTGACTAACAATCCGCATTGTCACTTTTAGACTGGCTCACAGAAGTGCACACCTGAAAATGTACTGTCAATGTCAAATTGGTGTTATTCAGGTTAGTAATGCCTGCTCTGGGCATAACCTTATAGGGACTAAGTAGTTGGGATGTGAGGAAATGCTGCCTCTTAATAAAGTTGGAACTGAATATTGAAACTGCATAAGGAATTTTCTGGGGGAAGTCAGCTAGACCCCTTGGCTTCCAGTGGTTCTGAAAACCAGGTAGGGAGGAGAACCCACCCTATGGGGCACTGGAAATACATGGGAGCAGTCCTTGGTCCTCACGATGTTTGGTAGTACTAGTATGTAGTAGAAGGAAGGAGTTTGGGAACATTAAACATCCTACAATGCACAGGGCAGTCCTCAACTCCACAGAAAGGTCTAGCCCGAAATGCCAGTAGCTTCTCTGAACCCACCAAGAAACAATTGCAGACCATCTCCAAATATACCATTGCCCTGGTCTTGGCTTAGTTACCACTGCCACCACCTCACTGCTCCTCCATGAACAGCCTGAACATGGCGCATCTGCTTTCCCCATTGTGGAGTTGAGTCAAGGCTGGGACAACCCAGCAAGACTTGCTGAAGGGGTAGAGTGGCCCCTGAAAGAAAGTGATGTGGAGAATTCCTCTTCAGTTGAAGCTGGTAATCCACGACAACAGTCCTTCCCTCCCTACTGCAAACCTTTTTCCTCAGGGTTCTGCCACTTGACCCCTACCACCTAGACTTCTTAAAGCCTGGAACCTACCAACTGTGACTTGCCATAACCACCCCAATTAGGAATGGCCATCAGGTGGCACTCCTCCTCCCGACAAGATCTCATAGTGAGTTGGTGGCAAGGTTAAGACTGAATTGTCTTCTAACCCCCAGGGCAGGGTTCTTTCTGTTGAACCCCATGGAGGGAGGCATTGATCACTCCACCTCAATGGCAGGCTCACTGACCTCAGGACCATAATATAGTGGAGATTTTCTCCAAACATCTCTGCAACTGATAAAACCTAACCAATCTGAGATCAGGGGGAGATAATTCGAAGATCGAAGAGATGCTGAAAAAAAGTTGCTTTCTTATTTTTTGTTTCATTTTGACTTTCATTTGTTTTTTATTTATGTTCGTCCTATGTGCAAGAGCACCTTACATTTCCTAAAATTGCTGCTTGGCTATCTTTGTGTGACTAAATGAAGAACAAGATGTTTTTCATAATACACTGACAGAGACACAGTTCTCGGGGGAAGAAAATAGTTTTCCAGCCAGCACGTTCCACTGAAACGGCTGTGCTGGGAAAATACAACTTCATGCCCAACACCAGGGATGCAAGTAAGAACCCAGGTCTCAAGGGGTGACGACACATGAAGCAAACAGCTGTGTTGCACTGAGATTGGTGTCCGGTCTCAGGACACAACAGAGGGGGAGAATTACCTTCCTGAGAGAAGCCGGACAAAGGACTAACTGCTGGCAGACAAGAGAAAGACTTGATGTTTAAAAAGTATAAAATGGAGTTTCAAGCAAGGTTAGAACCTAGACAAGAGGGCATTTTGGAAGCTTAGGATCAGGGAGCAGTAGCGCTGCAGGCCAGGACGGATGCTGTTCTCACCACCACGCCAACCTTTCAGAAACTTCCTGGAGGAAACCCTGCAGATAATAATAACTACTTCTTATTACAGCTCGACACCACACGAAACACTCACTAGCTCCATCAGATGCTTCCTCACACAGCAGCCCTTCTTGGAAATTCACTGAGCACATTAGCACACTTAAATTTCCAAGAAATCCTGGGAGAAATCTGGTTGACTTTGATTAACCTAGAATTTTCCAAGGTTATTAAACCTCAGAATCCCTGCTTCCTCCCGCCACAACACACACACATACGCGCACACACACACAAACTTAATCTAACATCCATGGAAATTGATGGTGCAGGAAACTTCGAAAACGTATCACTCACTCAGTTTCCTAACAGCTCCGAGAAGACTCAGACTCCCCATTTGATTGTTGGGAAAATTGAAGCTCAGAGTGGTGACATAACTGACTTAAAAACACACGTATGTCGCATTACGAGGACTGGAACCAAGATCCCGTGAGGCTGTTGGAGGCTTTTCTCCACTTCAATGCCACAGTTCACAAGGGTGGCCTTGCTAGTGCCCGCAGTGGCAGGATCCATGTGCGCTGCGGATGGAAATGGACAACAGGCTCTCTCCATATTCTCTTAGTTGTATGCTTCATTTTTTTAATTAAAATCTCAACTTTTCTAAGTAAGAATATTTTTGTTCTACAAGTAATATCTCGATTTTAGA